CAGGAACTGGTCCGGACCAAATCCATACATGCCTGGGAATGGGACGGTCTCAACCTCCGGTGTGCCCAGTGCCAACTAAAACTTTTGCACACCAAAAACCGCAAGACCTTAGAGGCGCTGGCAGCACACCAATGTGCGCATCAAGGGAGGGTTGCGATTGAAGGGGCTCATGTCACGCATGTTTTGAAACTTTTAGGAACTAGGCAGCTTTGGGTGTGCGAGGGTTGTGGTGGCCAGCTGTCCCTAAAAACCCGAACGGTTTCGCAAAAACTTGCTGCAGCTTGTTGTTTTAAAAAGGACTCCCGATGTAAGTCGCAATTCAAGCCAGAAACGACAAATCCCATCCGCAGCCTTTTTCAGCCAGCGCAGGCAGCCAAGTTAGTAGAAGGGCCCAACCCCCCCGTGCGCAATGGCGGAAATGAAGCAGGAGGACCTGCCCTCCCAGGCCCAGGAGGCCCCAGTGAAGAGTGAAGAAGAAAAGCCGAGGGTGGGGCCTCCCCGGAGCCAAAGGCTCTACACCACCCCACCGGCGACGACACTCAGGAGGGGCTACCCTCCCAAGCCAGTGCCTCCTCCAATGCAGCCCCTGCCGAGACAAAGGAGGAAAACAACCAGGAACTGCCAACCACAACACCGGCAGGGGAGGGGCAGCCGAGGCAAAGGCTTGGGAGAATAGAAAGAGGGAGGTTCCTCCTCCAAACAGGCAGCCCGGCAAAGCCCAAGGCAAGGGAGAGTTCCTGCTCGAACGCAGGACCCCGGCGCAGAGGTTCGTAGATGACTACACCTTGCAGAGGCAGAGAAACAGGCCGGGTAAGAAAGCCAGGGCTCAGAGGCAGCAGGCTGTCTCCGAGGCAGCCCAAAGGGTCCCACCCATGCCACCGCCAGCCAAACGTGCCGCCCACCCTGGATGCAATCACGAAGAATGGGAAGGATGGCAGCAATGGGGGACGAGCATTGGTCCGGAGGGTGGTCCTCCAGCTGGTGGGGGGCCTCCCGAGAATGGGACCAGGAGGGGATACCTCCGAAACCAGTCCGGAGCCTGCCCCAGTGGAGGAGCAGGACCAGGAGGACCAGGAGCCCCCGGCAGACCTTAACACGGGCACCAGGCCCTATAACGAGGGAGGTAACCTTATCCTCCAGCAAGCAGCCGCGGTCGGGGCAACGGCCCAGCCAACCAGATGCCCGACCAGGCCTCGTATGAGGTCCAGGACAAGATCCGGTACCTGACCATGCTTGCTCGGGGAGGGTCAAGGGTGGTGTATACCCTTGACCGGGAACCCCGCTGGGTCCTGAAGGTGGGCCCCCAAGATGCCCACCACTTCGAGTGGGAGCTGTTTGCGCTGTCCCTCACTCCTGGCCCAGGTCTGCCGGAGGTTCACCCTCCAGGTCGAGGTGCCTGGGCTCCCAGCCCAGGACCTGAGGGCCTACACCGTTGAGCGGATGGTGGCCCCCATCCGCCCAACACCGGACGGTTCGTTCCTCCAGATGTGCATTATGTTGTGCTTCTGGTGCGGACTACGCCTTCCGGAGGGGTACCTCCATCCCCGAGATCAAGGGGAGCATAACTGGGGGTACTTGGGAATGGCCAAGTACCACCGGTTAACGTCCCTGGACGTAGCCAACTGGAGCACGAGGGAACACTATGGTTTCCCCAGCCAAACCCGGCTCGTCTCGTTCTTCCGGTGGTTTGACCAAGACTCCCCCACCCTTAGCAGCAAAGTCAAGAGGTGGGTCAGCCTCCACCATGCCAGCATCCCCATGCTGGCAAGCCTGTTGCTGTGGGAGTTAAAGAACATGGACATCTCATCGACATGAAAGTCCTGTATGAGTTGCCGTCGCCAGACTATGGGCTAGCACGACCCCTCGGCAACATCATGGAGGAGCCTCGCTGGGATGCAGCCTAGGAGGTTGCATCCTCCCAGCGAGGACAGTAAAGAGGTACCATCCTCGCTACCGGAGCGGAACCCTGACCGCCTCCCTCTGACAGCCTGCACAAAGTGCACCAAAGGCCTTGAGGGACCTTTTGTCAGGAGGTTCCTAACCTCTCGTGAGGTACCAGCCTCTGGTAGCATCCCGAAGAGGATGAAAGCAGAGGTTCATCCTCGCTGCCAGAGAGCACCCCTGGCCCTCCTCTCACGGTTTGCACCCCCTGCATCAAAAACCTGAGGAGCTCTTTGCCAGGAGGTTTCATTCCTCTCATGAGGTACAGCCTCTGGTAGCATCCCAAAGAGGATGGTAGCCTAGGAGGAGGTTTTTCCTCCCCTGTACTTTAGGGCCAAGAGGGCCATCAGTAGTGCCAGTACAGAGGCACGGTTTTCACAACCCAAACACCAAGACGGTGGATCGCATTTGTTCGCTCAACTCGGAAAAAAAATTAAACCCAGGTTCTCGATGTTGTTGTTCCCACCCCCCCCCCCCCCCGCCCCCCCCCCCCGGAGGGCCGGGAGTTCGAACCTGGGTGAAACCCAGGTTCGAACCCCCCCCCCCCCGAACCTTGCTCAGAGCAGCTCGCTCAGAGTCCGCTGCGGCGGGCCTGTTTCGAATGCAATGTCTCCAGAGGGCGTGCGTGGACTTTGAAGCCGCCCCGCAGAGTCCGGCGCTCTCTTTCGGGGTGCTTTCTGTAGCGCTGGAAATCCAAGTCTTCAGGTTCCAGACGTTGTGCATCGTGAACTTCCAGGCTCGCGCCTCGCAAGTTCCCTGTTCCTAGCTCTCGAACCCTAGCGTCCGAACTCCTAGAATCCTAAGCCCTACTAGGCTGCCCTGTGAGTGCCCTGCGCATGTTGCCTGTTTCGCCCTGTCAGTGCGTCTTGTCTGTGCTCGGACCTGACCCGGATGCTCTGGATGCTTTTTTTGATGCTCTTCATGCTCCGGGGGTCCCTCTGCTAAGTCTACCTCACAGCATGTCAGACGGGAAAAACAAGCAAACCTGACCCGAATGTCGATTTTTTTGAATCGATGCTCCGTGGCGCCAGTGGCCCAATGCGGGGCATCGCAGGGCCTTGTCATTCTGTCAGTTTGTCATCGGTCGCCTGAGAGGCGAAATTCGCTGATACTTGGTTGTTTTTTGGACCCTGAGCGCCACATTTGGGTGCCCGGACGGTTATGTTGCAAATCCAGCTCAGAGTGCCTCCACCGTACTGTCGCGAGCAAGTTGCTGCGAAGCCACCTGTGCTACCTTCACGTGCCCTGCAGGCTATATGACAGACCTTGCAGGGCTGGCGTCCACCACGCTGTTCCAGTCCAGCTGCTGCAAAGCGACATGTGCCACTTTCACATGCCCTGCAGATTACATAGCTCGTCTGTTGCTTTCACGATCACGATCAACAACGGTGATCCAGTCCAACTGCTGTCAAGCCACGTGGCCAACCCAGACCGCAGGCTGGCCACTGATCTCAGTTAGCAGAGCTGCTGCCAAGCCACTTGTGCAACTTTCTCGTGCCCTACAGGATTCGTAGCAAACCTGTCCAACTCTGCGTCCACGCTGGTGTACACAGAGGAATGCTGCACAGCTCAATGTGCTGCGCTCAGCGTGTGCCCTGCAGGCTATGTGGAAATCAGCTCCAACTTTGGACTAGTACCTCCGAGTGCTGCTTGGCGACCTGTGCTGTGTTTCCATGTCCAGACGGGCAAGTTGCAGATGCCTCCCAGGCCACTTCTACGAGCGTGTCTGTAAGTGACTGCTGCCAGGACACGTGTGCCCTGTTTACGTGCCCGGCAGATTATGTGCCAAACCCCAGCTGCTGTCAGCAGCACCAATCTCACAACCGAGACATGTTGCGAGGCCACATGTGCCACATTCACATGCCCTGCAAAATTACCTTTCGGTGGACGAGTCCTCTTCCATCACTGCCGTGTCTCTTGGTAGCTGCTGCTCGGCAGGGCAGGGACCCAAGCAATTGCGCATCGCCAGTCCTCGACACTGGTGATTCAGTCGCAGTTGCGAAGACACTTGTGCCACCTTCCAATACTATGGAGGCTTTGTCGTGGCCGCTCAGACACCTGGACCACAGTGACCTTGGACAATTGCTGCCGTCCGACATGTGCGCTCTTTGCTTGCTCGATGAGTCATGTTGCAGATCCAGCAAAATCAGCTCTCACCGATCTTTCTGTGTCAGACTGCTGCCAGCCGACGTGTGCTGCTTTTCAATGCCCCTCTGGCTATCTGTCCGACCTGGTTGCATCCGCCTCAATCGACGTCTCAACGGGAACCTGCTGCAATGCAACTTGCGCAATATTCAGCTATCCCGTCGCATATGTATCTGATCTCAGCCAGCTCATGTCAACTATGGTAAACCAGGAAACATGCTGTAAGGCCACCTGTGCCAGTCTCGCCTGTAACGCTGGCTACTCGCCAGTTCGACCAAGAGACCTCCACAAATGTCTCTCAGTCAAACTGCTGCGAGGCAACTTGTGCAGTCTACCAGTGTCCCGATGGTTTCACCGCCAACCCTGCCAACCAGCCAATTTGGACGTGACGAGCTGCTACGTGTGCTACTTTGCTGTGCCCTGCGGGTTGGGAGTTTGCCTTGGGCCAGGAAAACTCCACGGACGTCACGGTTGAGACTTGCTGCGAGAGCTGCCCGGCAGGCAGCTTCAAGACCGATGAGGACCCGGTGTCTGGCCCAGGCGATTTGAGGGAACGTTGTGCATCGTGCTGCCAGGGTTTTGGAATCCTTCGATCGGCAGCGCGCGTGCAGCGCTTGCCCAGCGAATTGGACAACGCCGGTTGAAGGTGCCACGCAATCTTCCCAGTGCACTTGCAAGGAGGGCTTTGACAAGGATGACGGACTTTGCATAAGTTGCATGGCCAATGCGGTGTGCCCCGGGGCTGATTTTCAGCCTCACTCGTCCCCCGGCCACTGGAGTCCTGACGCGCGAACCTTCTGGAGCTGCTTTCCTTCAGACTCCTGCCTGGCGGGCAGCACAACATCCACCAATGAATGTGCCGCTGGAAGGGTTCGGATGGTGTTCGATGTGTGCCATGTGCAGAGGACCATTACATGACAAACGCCGAATGCTACCAGTGCAGCGGATTCCAGAAGGTCCTTAGCATCATGGGACGGATTGTTCTAGTCCTGGCTCTGCTTGCCACCATGGTGATCCTGCGATGGGAGGCTGCCACGGATGTCCTGAATACCAGCTTCCGAGAGGTCTGCAGGCATCACAAGAAGGTCTTGGGACGGCTGGGGCAGGCCATGACAATGGAAGCCGAAGCTACGCTGTTCTTTGCAGCCATTGCAGTCCTGCAGTTCCTGTGGGTGTTTACGTTGTTCCCGAACTGGCAATCGAGCACAGGGCCCCTTCAGGATGTTTGGAAAGCCATCGTGACCCTCGCTGCTTTCGATACCAGCGTGTTCACACACTGTTCTCTGGGCAGTTCTTTCATCAACAACTGGTCTCTAGACTGGTGCTTGCACTGGGCAATCGTTTTGGGGAACATGGTGCTGGTGCTTGTGCAGTTCGTCATGGCAAAGGCTACTAAGACCACTAAGACCCACCTCACAGGCATACTGATGGAAAGCACCTCCTTCCTGATCATGCTCCTGATTACTGCTCGATTCAGGCTGGACCTGATCTTCGTCAACTGCGTGAGATGCGAATCTGGGCGGATGTGCCTGGCTGAGGATCCTCTGTTGTATTGCGGCTTCAAGGACGGGTTTGGGATGTTGCGGGATGGCTTAGGCTTAGGCTTGCTTGAATCTGCTCCCTGTCTACATCTCGGCTCTTGTTCCCTCTGCTCCATCAGGACGGCTCAGAGGAGTGGAAGAGGCTAGCCTACGTCTCCATAGCCGATCTCTCGGTTTGGAGCTTGCTGCTGTCTTTGGTGTTCTTTGCATTTCTTTGCCATGGTGAGGACCTGGAAGTGGCAGTGTGGTGAAGGTGAAGGTGTGACCTCAAGCGGCCGAGTCCACTGGTACGTGCTCTTCGCTGAACCTTGGACCAAGCATCTGAAGGGCCACTCCGGGTCCTTGCGCCGTGCGGTGCAAGACTTCCCGACCTTCACCGAGCACCTCCAGACGCCAGCATCCCGGAAGGAGGTCTGGCAACGGTTCAACTCCCACGTGCTCGAGAAGAAGGAGCAGGATATGGCAGAGCTTGCCCTGAAGATGGTGGCGCTCACTGAGCAGAAAGAAGGCAATGGCACCGACGGCCCCCAGGTACCGAAAGGGACGGAGCACTTGGACGTTGACATTGCAGACATGGCCGAGAAGGTTCAAGAGCTCTACCCAAAGAGCAAGTGGTTCTTCCTGTTAGAGCTGTTCTGGTCCTGCTCATGGTCATGGTTGCGGACTCTCTTCAGGGTGGCGATGACAGTGGCAGTCATGACCCTTCCGAGAGACTCCGGAAACTCCGATTCAAGGACGATAGAATGCTCCTTCGTGCTGATGGGGTTGTTGGCGTTCGCAGGCTTGATGAAGGCAAACCGTTGGGAGTTTGTGAACGACTGGGAAATTCTTCTCTACGCGCTATCGCTGGGAGTCCTAATCCTGCTGCAGGCCGGGAACACGGTCTCCGTCGCAGTCCTGGCGAGCGCTACCGTTTTCGTGGCCGTGGCTCCGGTTCTCCTCTACCTTTTCGCATTTGCCATCCGCCGTTGCCTCACCAACGTGGAGGCGACGCAGAGCAAGCCCAAGTCACAGGCATCGTCCACAAATGCTTTGCCAAGGAAGCCGACGGAAACGAGGGGCCCACCGTCCAGGCGGTCGACGTCTCCTTCTGAACCTATAGAGCTTGAGCTGACGCCTGATGGTTCCCACCGGAACCATTTTCTCCCTTCTTCTTTCGATTTTCTGCTGCAAACGCGCGTCTGGTCGTGGCAAGAACGGTTTGGCCGAGACGTGCGGGAGCTGCAGGCTGCTCGATGGCAGCTGTGAGAAAGAGGCGGTCGGTCGAACAGGTGGGCTTGAGAAAAACCCATGCCCAGCTCCCGACCCATGCCAAGAAAAAACGACCCTGTCTGCTTCACATGTGCGCTGCCAAGCAGCCCGGGTGCAGCGGAACTGAGTTTCTCCGGAAACATGAAATGGTCACTTCACTTGGATGTGCTCTGATGATCTTTGATCTGCTTTTGTCAGTTCGTGAACCGTGCACGCTTGGAGTATGCTGCATGCTCAAACCAGGCCCTTTGGCTCCAAGTTGATTTAGACGGATAGGCGAGAAATCTCGTAAGACTGCTATCTCAAGTCCATCATGGCGTCGCCGCGACCTCAGGGCTTGTTCCATTCGGGCCACAAGTCCCCAAGCCCCCAGGTTTGGTACGGAGCTTGTCGCATCATTTCTTTCTTTTGCCCATCGTGAGAGTTCATGGTTTGGCAGCCAAGCGGCTAAGCGTTTTCAGTTTGCACACTCCTTTGCTGCGCAAGTGGCACAAGAGCATGGAGACACATGTTTGGGTCTTGAAGGATCCGTAATGTAAGACACTGAAGCCCCAAAGTCGAGGGATTCGACAGAATCCGACAGCTTTGTCCTGAGGTCATGTGCAGTCCTTGTGCTCATTGCACAATGGGCCCAGCTTGCACAAGCCCATTCCTCGCTGTTTTGCGCCGCAACTTCTCCATCAAACCCTGGCCAGCTGAAAGTGATTTTGGGAACCTACCACAGCCTGACCGGTAGTGCTTCTGGAGACATGGTGCTGACACGCGAACAAGGCACACCTGTGATGACCAGCTTGACGCAGACATGCCGTGGCAGCGTTGCCCGCGGAGCTGGCTGTCAGAGCAACCCGCCAGCTGTGGACATGCTGACAGACTGTGTGGCAAAAGGCCTGCTTCCAGGCGATGCCGTCATCACATGCTACGCAGTGGCTCCAGATGACAGTGTCATCCCGGCAGACTCCTGCGATGCCATCGCGGATAAGGGCGTCATTGGCATGTATGCTGTGGGCGGGCTCTCGGATTTTTCGAGCGGGGTTGTGAAGGTTCAAGTTCAGAACACTGATATCAACTTCGCCCCCAGTTATGGAGGTGCCACTGCTTTAGTGAGGCGAATGGGAGAAGCCCGCGGGGTTGTTCTTGGTGTTTCTGTCGCGCAAGCGGGCAATCCATGCCCAACTGTGCCCGTTGTCAACAACTCCCAAGATCTCAGTTCCTGCAACAATGCCTTTGATGGCTTCCTTTGTGCGGTTCCATGTGCTACAGGATTTATCCCGAGTGGTGGAGGTTACATTTGCAACAACGGAACCTATGAAGCGCTCGAGACCATTCCCCAGTGTGTGCAAACATGTGCACAGGCATACCATCCCTGCCAGCCTGGATTCATCCAACAGTCTGCGGAGGCTCCTGCTGTGAGTGAAGACTTTTGCTGCTTGAGGACTTGCGCAGCTCACACTTGCCCAGCAGGGCACATTCCTGTTCAAGCGAAGTTGGCCTCTACGGTTGTGTCGGATGCCGACTGCTGTGAAATGACTTGCAGCGCTTTCGACTGTCCCTCAGGCTACGTGAGGAATCCGAGCATGCTGACGAGTGCGCCGGTGTCGCAGCAAACTTGCTGCGTGGAATCATGCTCTCGCTTCTCATGCCCGGCAGATCATGTTCCTGACACAAGCAACGAGAATTCCTCAACACTGACGGTGTTGGAGTGTTGCTTGCCCACATGCTCTGGCTTGTCATGCCAAGCCAACTTTGTGCCCGATCCAGCCAAGTCGGGCTCAACTGATGTGCGACAGGAAAACTGCTGCTTGCCATCCTGTGCATCATTTTCATGCCCCCTTGGGTACGCGCCCAATCCAGGCAACAGCCAGGCGACAACCTTGGATTTCCAGACTTGTTGCTCTCCGTCCTGTGCATCGTTCACATGTCCTGCATCCTTTGTTCCGAAGCTGTCAGCTATGTCTTCCATAAGCCTGAGCACATCAGATTGCTGTGAAGGCACATGCCAATCGTACACATGTTCCAGTGGTTTTGTGGTTGACAGTACGCGGGCAGCTTCCACGCTTCTGACCGATGCCAGCTGTTGCATTCAGACGTGCGCCGGCTTCACGTGCCCAATCGGTTACGTGAATGATCCTGCCTTCGCGCAGAGCACAATCGTCTCGAACAAGGCATGTTGCAAGCTCGATAGCTGTCTGGCTTTCACGTGTCCAGTTGGCTTCACGCCAGTTTCTGGCACGCCCAGCACAGTCTCACAGACCTCCTGCTGCGTGCAAGAGTGTTCATCTTTCCAATGCCCTGCTGGCTACAGCCCAAACCTTGCCAACAGCGCCTCCACCGAGATTTCCGTTTCGAACTGCTGTGAGGCGACCTGCGCCACATTTGGGTGCCCAGACGGTTATGTTGCAAATCCAGCTCAGAGTGCCTCCACCGTACTGTCGCGAGCAAGTTGCTGCGAAGCCACCTGTGCTACCTTCACGTGCCCTGCAGGCTATGTGACAGACCTTGCAGGGCTGGCGTCCACCACGCTGTCCCAGTCCAGCTGCTGCAAAGCGACATGTGCCACTTTCACATGCCCTGCAGATTACATAGCTCGTCCATTGCTTTCACGATCAACTACGGTGACCCAGTCCAACTGCTGTCAAGCCACTTGTGCCACATTCACCTGCCCTGCAGATTATGTGGCCAACCCAGACCGCAGGCTGGCCACTGATCTCAGTCAGCAGAGCTGCTGCCAAGCCACTTGTGCAACTTTCTCGTGCCCTACAGGATTTGTAGCAAACCTGTCCAACTCTGCGTCCACGCTGGTGTACACAGAGGAATGCTGCACAGCTCAATGTGCTGCGCTCAGCGTGTGCCCTGCAGGCTATGTGGAAATCAGCTCCAACTTTGGAACCAGTACCTCCGAGTGCTGCTTGGCGACCTGTGCTGTGTTTCCATGTCCAGACGGGCAAGTTGCAGATGCCTCCCAGGCCACTTCTACGAGCGTGTCTGTAAGTGACTGCTGCCAGGACACGTGTGCCCTGTTTACGTGCCCGGCAGATTATGTGCCAAACCCAGCTGCTGTCAGCAGCACCAATCTCACAACTGAGACATGTTGCGAGGCCACATGTGCCACATTCACATGCCCTGCAAATTACCTTCCGGTGGACGAGTCCTCTTCCATCACTGCCGTGTCTCTTGGTAGCTGCTGCTCGGCAACGTGTGCGACTCTGACATGCCCAGCAGGGACCCAAGCAATTGCGCATCGCCAGTCCTCTACACTGGTGACTCAGTCGCATTGTTGCGAAGACACTTGTGCCACCTTCCAATGCTATGGAGGCTTTGTCGTGGATCCCGCCCAGACACCCTCGACCACAGTGACCTTGGACAACTGCTGCCGTCCGACATGTGCGCTCTTTGCTTGCCCGATGAGTCATGTCGCAGATCCAGCAAAATCAGCCCTCACCGATCTTTCTGTGTCAGACTGCTGCCAGCCGACGTGTGCTGCTTTTCAATGCCCCTCTGGCTATCTGCCCGACCTGGTTGCATCCGCCTCAATCGACGTCTCAACGGGAACCTGCTGCGATGCAACTTGCGCAACATTCAGCTGTCCTGTCGCCTACGTCTCTGACCTTAGCCAGCTCACGTCAACTGTGGTGAACCAGGAAACATGCTGTGAGGCCACCTGTGCCAGCCTCGCCTGTAACGCTGGCTACTCGCCAGTTCTCGACCAAGAGACCTCCACAAATGTCTCTCAGTCAAACTGCTGCGAGGCAACTTGTGCAGTCTACCAGTGTCCCGAAGGTTTCACCGCCAACCCTGCCAACCAGTCTACCACAAATTTGGACGTGACGAGCTGCTGCCTTCCAACGTGTGCTACTTTGCTGTGCCCTGCGGGTTGGGAGTTTGCCTTGGGCCAGGAAAACTCCACGGACGTCACGGTTGAGACTTGCTGCGAGAGCTGCCCGGCAGGCAGCTTCAAGACCGATGAGGACCCGGTGTCTGGCCCAGGCTATTTGAGGGAACGTTGTGCATTGTGCCTGCCAGGGTTTTGGAATCCTTCGATCGGGCAGCGCGCGTGCAGCGCTTGCCCAGCGAATTGGACAACGCCGGCTGAAGGTGCCACGCAATCTTCCCAGTGCACTTGCAAGGAGGGCTTTTACAAGGATGACGGACTTTGCATAAGTTGCATGGCCAATGCGGTGTGCCCCGGGGCTGATTTTCAGCCTCACTCGTCCCCCGGCCACTGGAGTCCTGACGCGCGAACCTTCTGGAGCTGCTTTCCTTCAGACTCCTGCCTGGCGGGCAGCACAACATCCACCAATGAATGTGCCGCTGGAAGGGCTCCGGATGGTGTTCGATGTGTGCCATGTGCAGAGGACCATTACATGACAAACGCCGAATGCTACCAGTGCAGCGGATTCCAGAAGGTCCTTAGCATCATGGGACGGATTGTTCTAGTCCTGGCTCTGCTTGCCACCATGGTGATCCTGCGATGGGAGGCTGCCACGGATGTCCTGAATACCAGCTTCCGAGAGGTCTGCAGGCATCACAAGAAGGTCTTGGGACGGCTGGGGCAGGCCATGACAATGGAAGCCGAAGCTACGCTGTTCTTTGCAGCCATTGCAGTCCTGCAGTTCCTGTGGGTGTTTACGTTGTTCCCGAACTGGCAATCGAGCACAGGGCCCCTTCAGGATGTTTGGAAAGCCATCGTGACCCTCGCTGCTTTCGATACCAGCGTGTTCACACACTGTTCTCTGGGCAGTTCTTTCATCAACAACTGGTCTCTAGACTGGTGCTTGCACTGGGCAATCGTTTTGGGGAACATGGTGCTGGTGCTTGTGCAGTTCGTCATGGCAAAGGCTACTAAGACCACTAAGACCCACCTCACAGGCATACTGATGGAAAGCACCTCCTTCCTGATCATGCTCCTGATTACTGCTCGATTCAGGCTGGACCTGATCTTCGTCAACTGCGTGAGATGCGAATCTGGGCGGATGTGCCTGGCTGAGGATCCTCTGTTGTATTGCGGCTTCAAGGACGGGTTTGGGATATTGCGGGATGGCTTAGGCTTAGGCTTGCTTGAATCTGCTCCCTGTCTACATCTCGGCTCTTGTTCCCTCTGCTCCATCAGGACGGCTCAGAGGAGTGGAAGAGGCTAGCCTACGTCTCCATAGCCGATCTCTCGGTTTGGAGCTTGCTGCTGTCTTTGGTGTTCTTTGCCATGGTGAGGACCTGGAAGTGGCAGTGTGGTGAAGGTGAAGGTGTGACCTCAAGCGGCCGAGTCCACTGGTACGTGCTCTTCGCGGAACCTTGGACCAAGCATCTGAAGGGCCACTCCGGGTCCTTGCGCCGTGCGGTGCAAGACTTCCCGACCTTCACCGAGCACCTCCAGACGCCAGCATCCCGGAAGGAGGTCTGGCAACGGTTCAACTCCCACGTGCTCGAGAAGAAGGAGCAGGATATGGCAGAGCTTGCCCTGAAGATGGTGGCGCTCACTGAGCAGAAAGAAGGCAATGGCACCGACGGCCCCCAGGTACCGAAAGGGACGGAGCACTTGGACGTTGACATTGCAGACATGGCCGAGAAGGTTCAAGAGCTCTACCCAAAGAGCAAGTGGTTCTTCCTGTTAGAGCTGTTCTGGTCCTGCTCATGGTCATGGTTGCGGACTCTCTTCAGGGTGGCGATGACAGTGGCAGTCATGACCCTTCCGAGAGACTCCGGAAACTCCGACTCCAGGACGATAGAATGCTCCTTCGTGCTGATGGGGTTGTTGGCGTTCGCAGGCTTGATGAAGGCAAACCGTTGGGAGTTTGTGAACGACTGGGAAATTCTTCTCTACGCGCTATCGCTGGGAGTCCTAATCCTGCTGCAGGCCGGGAACACGGTCTCCGTCGCAGTCCTGGCGAGCGCTACCGTTTTCGTGGCCGTGGCTCCGGTTCTCCTCTACCTTTTCGCATTTGCCATCCGCCGTTGCCTCACCAACGTGGAGGCGACGCAGAGCAAGCCCAAGTCACAGGCGTTGGAGGGCATCGTCCACAAATGCTTTGCCAAGGAAGCCGACGGAAACGAGGGGCCCACCGTCCAGGCGGTCGACGTCTCCTTCTGAACCCTATAGAGCCTGAGCTGACGCCTGATGGTTCCCACCGGAACCATTTTCTCCCTTCTTCTTTTGATTTTCTGCTGCAAACGCGCGTCTGGTCGTGGCAAGAACGGCTTGGCCGAGACGTGCGGGAGCTGCAGGCTGCTCGATCGCAGCTGTGAGAAAGTGGCGGTCGGTCGAAAAAAGCTGGGCCTTGAGAAAACCCTGCCCAGCTCCCGACCCATGCCAACAAAGAAAAGGCCCTGTCTGCTCACATGTGCGCTGCCAAGCAGCGCGGGTGCAGCGGGAGAGAGCTTCTCCGGAAGCATGAAATGGTCACTTCACTTGGATGTGCTCCCATGATCTTTGATGTGCTTGTGTCGCACGAACTGTGAACCGTGTTTACGCTTGGAGTATTCTGAAAGCAGGCCCTTCGGCTCCAAGTTGATTTAGACGGATTGGCGAGAAATCTCGCGAGACTGCCATCTCAAGTCCATCATGGCGTCGCCGCGACCTCGGGGCTTGTTTCACTCGGGCCACAAGTCCCCCAGCCCCCAGGTTTGGTAAGTGGGCTCCTGGAGCAGGAGGGGCCACTACAAGACGGTGCTTGGGGATTGAAAGCTGCAGGGTTTGGGGTTTAGGGTTTAGGGTTTAGGGGTTAGGGGTTAGGGGTTGGGGTTTAGGGTTTAATGGGAGGCAGGGGGGTGTCGATTCTCAAGGAACTGCTGTTCCCACGGGCCTCAATCTCGCCTCGCAGGGTTCTTTGAGGCAGAGGCTCCACAGGGAACGAAGTCGAATGGGTTTAGGGTTCAGGGTTCGGGGTGCCAAAAGCGTCGGAACGCATGCAAGTTCTTGCAAAGCCAACCCAACCAACCCGCCAACCCGCCAAGCCACAAAAGCCCGCTTCCAGCACTGGCGACTCCAGGAGATGCGAAGCACGCGTGTGATGCAAGCACCCTGCGAGTCCGGCACCGGGGGAATTTGAAAGTGACTAATGTGAAAAAGGACCCGCCGACATCTACCGTAAAGCAGGTACTCGTATCCAAGAACCGAACACCAAGGCGTGGGGCCTTACCCTCGCCTACCCTACCCGAGCCAAGCCCCTGGACCCAAAACAGGGTTTAGGGTTCAGGGTTTAGGGTTTAGGGTTTAGGGAGATTGACGCACCTAACCCGCCCGAGGACCCTGATCTGAGGTGCATCGAGCCAGGTGCTTGCTGGGTTCAGCACGTCAGCCCTTTCAAAGTCGCCGGTCCTGTGCGAAAGAATCTGTGACACCCATCGGCTGCTGGCCAAAAATGGGAGTTTCAGACAGGGTTTGACCCTTGGGATGTTCCCTCCTTATATAAACAGTCCTTAATAGGTACTATAATTTTAACGCTACGCGACCCGCCTCGGCCCGGCCCAGCGCATCCGCGTGAGCATGGTGATTCCGCAGCGCCCAAGTCGCTGGACCCCAAGCAATAAGGGTTGGGTTGAGGGTTGAGGGTTGAGGGTTCCGGGTTTATGGTTTATGGTTTGGGGTAGTTTAGGGCTCAAGGTTCACGCTTTGGGGTTGAGGGTTTTTTTGGGTTTAGGGTTCGGCTTGGAGTGATGGTAGGGTTGAGCCAGGCCCCTTAAGGTTTAAGGCGACTCTTCGGCAGGGTGGGGGGGAGGGGGGGGGGCAGGCGGGGAGGGGGAGGGGGGTAGGGGGGGGGGGGTAGGGGGGGGGTGGGGGGTAGGGGGGGGGAAGGGGGGGTGGTGGAGGGGCTTCAACTGCCTCTGGTCCTGGCGAACCGTCCGCTTGCGGACCCCGGTTTCCCAGGGGGGGTACCCATTTGAGGCCAAAAAAAGGGGTCCGAAAAAGGGCTTTATACACCTCCGGCCCGAGGCCTCGGCGGATACCCCCAATTATACTCCCCATTAAGGCCTGTTAATATAAGGGGAACATTCCAGGGGGTTGACCCAATTGACTTCGGAGGAGCGGTTGCTGTGATAGTGCTGTGCACGTGAGCAGCTGCAAACAATACGCTTGCAAGTTGAGTCTTCTAGCGGATGCTGGTCATGCGGTGCAAACATCGTCATCGCAACCACTCGTCGGGCTTTCTTTCGGCATTGGCAGCGGGGTTGTGTTTGATGCCATCCGAGACCGATGAACTCCAGTCCCTCCCAGGAGTTGTCGCTTAAGCTGTGGGATCTACTGTTTGTAGCGTCAGCACTGGAACGGTCAGAAAAGAGTGGGAAACCCAGAACCCGCTCGAGCTTGTGTGATCGGCTCACAAGAAACGCAAGATTTGGTCACAACCTCTCAGCCCTCATGTGAAGCCAGATGCGGTGCTCAAGCAGATATCAACTGCTGCTTAGAGGGGTTTCTCGTAGATCAGGGTCCGGGAGGAGGGGCTGTTGGTTTGTCGGGCGTGGGGATATTTTAGGAATGTGCGTACGTCACGGGACAGTTCTGGGTTGACCCATATCGACCCCCTTGCAGCCGCTCGTATGTTGCGTTGCCGTGGCTTGATTTCATGCTGCCCGCTCGGTTACATATCAGCAGGAAACGCGTCCAGGATCACTACAAAACGGCAACATCCCTGAACCAAGGCCAATCATCCGCAAGAAACTTAACACTCTGATCCTTCCACCCGGCACACCAAAAGCTTAAGGCGCCGGCGTCTCGGTGTGTAGAAGATGGCTTCAGGCGCCATGGCCGAGAGATCCGAGCCGCTCGTTGGGGAAAATGCAGAAGCCGAGCAGAGTTTCTACAAAAACGAGATCAAGACCATGTGTGGCATTGGATGGCCGATGCTGATCAGCTTTTTCTGCCGATTCGGCATGGCTTCAGAAGACTCCGCCTTCGTAGGGCACATCGCCTCCACGGCGAAGTTCCTCACCACCGGACACAGTGTTCTCAGCATCGGGGCCTCCCTCCTGGGCTACGGCTTCCTAGCCGCCAAGGGCGCGGCCGAAGGCGCCCTGGGCTATGGGCCCATGGACTACCTGGCGGCTGCGGGGCTCTCTGACATGGTCACGAACATCCTGATCATCCCCCCCTTGGCCTTCAACCAAAGCCTCAATGCCCTCGTGAGCCAGGCCATGGGATCGGGGAACCGTGGGAATTCTTGGGAACGACCTTGTTTTTTTTTCTTCATGTTCAGGTACTCTATTTCCTAAAAGAAGCAGCTCAAATCATAGATTTTTGCTAGGGAGGTTTCCAAGTTCAGTAGAGGAATAAGAAGATGGCGGGGACCTGGTTGCAGCTCTCGGTCCTCTGGCTGACTTTGGGCTATTCGGTGACCTTGGCCTCCTTCTTCTTTGTCTCCCCCATGCTGAAGCTCCTGGGCTTCTCCTCGGATGTCTGTGAGCTTGCCGGGATGTATGCCAAGTACAACGTCTTCTGGCCCATCCCAAACGGCTGGTACCAGTGCATGCGCTTCTACTTCCAGGCGCAGGGCATCACCAAGCCCGCCATGTACAACAACATCATCTTCCTGGCGGTGAATGCCCTGCTGAACTGGGTGCTTGTCTTCGGTGGGCCTTTCAGGGCCTGGGGATGGTATGGCTTCGGCTTCATCGGGGCGGCTCTCTCCCTGAGCTGTTCGAGGACTTTGCAGCCGCTGGCCTACTGGCTCTACATGTTCTGGTGGCGCAAGGCCCACCTCGACACCTGGCCATCCTTGTCCCAGAAGACCTACCTGACGAAGGAGCATGTGAAGAACTTCATGGCCATGTCGTTGCCGCAGATGGGCACGCTCATTTTCCAAGCCGTCGTTGGCCAAGCCACCACGCTCATGATCGCAAAGCTGGGAACAGAGGCGGTTGCGGCAAGCTCGGCGGCGGCAGCTGCGACAATGGTGTTTACCGGCGGCCTCTCTCCCACACTTTCGATGGTTGGAGGTATGCGAGTTGGATACTACTTGGGTAAGGGGCAGGCAGAGCATGCCAGGCGTGTTGGGATGCTCGCGCTGCTTCTTGGGGCCATGCTGACGACAGCCATCGCTGCTGTCTACCTTCCTTTCGGGAAGTACATCTTGCATGTGGTGACCAAAGACGAGAAGGTTGATGTGCCAGCAACGACCATCCTCCCAGCCATCATGATGAATCTGATTGCCTCCATCATGGTATCCGTGGGCACCCAGGGGATCTTAACGAGCCAGGGCCGCACCAAGGCGGTCACACTTCTGTCGATGGGATTTGACCTTCCCTTCTCGGTGGGCTCCACAGCCCTGATGGTCTTCTACTTTCAGGCCAGCCTGAATGTGGTCTACTGGGTTCAGGCAGCGGTTTCCTTCGTGGAGGCTGCGGTGATCCTGGTCATCATCCGCTGGAGCGACTGGGCGGGTCTGGCGCGTCAGGCGCGCAGCCGCCAAGGAATGGACCGGCCTCAGGATGCGCTTTTGCCCTCTTGGGAATCATTGTTGTGTTTTTTGTTGATATACAAATCAAGGGAAGATTAAGCATACTACGTTTTTTAAGGTTCTGAGGGGCGTAGAGTGCAGAGGATGCAGAAGCTGGGGGCATCTCCGCCAGCGACATCCCGGAGGATCTCCGGGCGAGTGGCATCTCCTTGCAGCCTCCAGCGGACAAGGACACAGGGACAGAAGCGAACCCTGCGACCCCTTCTCTTATGGGAGGCTGAGAGCAAGTCCTCAGAAGGGTGTCCAGGATGTGCCACAGCGTGAATGTTGAAGGACAGTGTGCAAGACCGGCGCGCCCGATCTTCACAGTGAGGGGCAGAGTTTCGATTTTTCTGGCGCTGCTTGATGCCGTAGTTGTACAGTCAGCGCAGAAGTTGTCCTGGCTTTCTGATATGCAGTCACAGAGAGCAGCAACGATACAGTTGCGTTGGACTGCAGTCTCAGGAGGCCGCGAGTTCACTTGATTTGGAGTCAAGACCGAGCGATCACGAGCGAAGAAAGAGGACTCTTGCTGTTGGTATGGCAAGTGGGCTTCGTTGCTGCTCATTCCCCTTCGTACCTCAGAAGGCGTCACCACGCTGCCCGAAGCGACATGAAACGACGTAGATGGAAGATGTTGGCTTTTGGTGGTGCATGAGTGGCAGCAGTGCCCTTTATCCATGCCCCTACAACCCCGCTAGAACCCGCCAGGCTTGTCAATTGTCAGTCACCTGCCGAGCAACCTGTTAACATAAGCACTTCCTTACCGACCCAGGCCCCTGTAGCCGATCACCGAAGACTTGTGAACAATCCCTCCAAACACCCCCCAAGGAACCCGTAAAAGACCGTCCCTGTTCGAGCACGCCCGAATCGCGGGCCGGGCCATCCGCCTCTCAGCACACGTACTTCGCGGGGCAGCATGGATGTTCCAGGTCTTGTCTTGCATCAGGTGGTTGAATAAGCGGATGGTGCTGCCGGCCCTCCTGGCCTCCTCACGAACAGGGGAAGCAGAATTTCAGGAAGGGAGAGTTGTATGAGCTTGGATCGGGAGAGCCGTTCTGTTGGATCCCACGGACGGCGACTTTGCGACGCCGCGTGACAATCTTTCGGCCGCGCGTGTTTTTGATCGTGGCGGGGCCACCCTCCCCTGCCGACGTCGTCCTACCTCGAAATTGCCGCCAACAGCATTGGGTCAGAGCCTGTCAGTGCGAGGAGATGTGTTGTGGTTGGCTGGCCAGGGCGGAGGAGCTCCTCCAAGCGATGGGGGGGGGTCCCACAGAAAGGGGGGACAAAATTTGGCATGGGGGAAGGGTTGGGTTATGGGGAAGGAGACCGGATCCGTGTCTACTTGTTCCAAACGCTTCTCGGCAGGAAGCCGAGGCGAGTTTAAGCCCTAAACCCTAAACCCTAAACCCTAAACCCTAAACCCTGCCAAATCGCAGAGCAGCACTCCGGTGGCAGCAGTGGGTCTTCACGGGGTGGCTACTCCCATTGAGTAGAAAAATCATTCAACTAGGTGGTGCCTTCGCACATTGTGGAATTCATTGTAGAATTCGTGGCCAGCTAGCATTGTTGAGGATCGAAGCAACACTGGCCCTTGGCTCAGAGCAGAGCCTGTGGGTTTGCTTTAGAACCTTGGTACATGCTCATAGGTTCGGCTAAACCATCTGAAGACTGCAAAGCTTGTTGCAAAAAGCCACTGCAGGCCAACTGACTGCGAGTGATAGGAGGTCGTTCTCATGGCTGCTTCAATACAGGCTCCTGCGATGTACTACTACGCAGACATGGCAAGATACCGGCCACGGATGCTTAGATACGACTTGTGTAGATAGCACAAAACAGATGAAGATCGTGGAGAGAAGTTGTTTGCTGAGACCCTCGTCAAGTCGTCCATAATGTATGCTGATTTGTGATGCCCATGGCACTTGGCCACACAGCAAGATGAGCTTCGGAGTCTACCGCCCCCAGATGGGGGTGGCAAGTGGAATGCGGGTTCTTTGCAGCGACCAGACCCTTCAGGACTGCTCAGGGGTTCAGGGTTTGGGGTTTAGGGTGCTCTCTGGGAGGCGCAGAAGTGCCTATCACTGCCCGCGTGTCAAGGAGCAGCGCCGTGCTGCTGAGCAAAACGGACGCCAGCAGGCTACACAAGATGCTGCGGTTGCGAGAGTGTGATGAAGTTTCCACATGTTTCCACCTTGCTTCAGGCGCCTGTGGTGAATCCCATCACTGGCGAGCTAGCTGGCGGCGTCGTCCCCGAGACGAAGACAGCGACACGACGTCCACCATCAGGATGTAGGATGCTGTAGCTGCTGTAGCTGCTGTGAGGACGCTTTCTGTGTTGCCGTTGCTAGCATGCTGGTAATGATATCCACATCGCTGTTTGGTTGAATCTGCAGTCGCCGAGTGGAAGACCTTGGTTCGCTGAAAGATATCCATTGCCATAGCACATGCCAGAAGCGAACTTTCGTGTCTTGACCGTCGCCGTCGCGGCTCCAAGCTTGAGCGCACAGCGCCTTTGTGCGCAGAGGACGGAGAGGCTCGCCTGCACAGGGATGAGGGTCTAGGGTTTAGGGTTTAGGGTAGCCCTTGTTCAACGCTTGTTTTTGGGGCTTTTGCAGTTCATGGGGGGGTGAGGGCTGGCGTCAGAAGCTTGAATGTCGACAGGAGCCCGTCTGGACTGTGCAGCGCTTGATGAACCGATACAAGGCTGGTTCTACCGTGCAGCTAAATGTAATAATACCTTACAAACAAAAAACTAGAAGAGAGATGGCCCGAAAGCATCGATTTGCCGTGCGTTGACTCCATGCACTTGATTCTTTGTAATCGAACTGTATGCACTTGGAGAAATGTATGCCCTTACATGGTTGCATAGTCACTTGTACACTGCACTTGTATGCACTGGAACCGCATGGCATTCAAGTGTGTGGAGTTGAATGCCATGCACTTGTGGTCAACTCTGTAGACTTTTCATCGGCGTTGAAGACAACGCCGAGCTCCAGCGGCCGGTCGCGGCACGCACCTGCGCCGGTGCAAGGAAAGAAGCAGAAACCACACAAGCACAAAAACAGACAAAAGAGGTGGAGTCTAAGTAAGGGCCGTGCATGTTGGTCGCCATGGAATACCTGCGCGCAGAAAACAGCTTTACTTGCAAGTCGGTCGACAAAGGTGCCAATCGTCCCGGGCGGTCCTAGCTGCATTTTCACACACGCGTGCGTCGCACCGTCATATTAAACAGAGGTGGCCGCGCCGTCGTACTTTCGCAAGACAGCGTCCGTTTGGGGAACCCACATGTGTATTTGTCTGACATGTGGCACCCGCGCTCCGAATTGACACGCTGCCTTGCAGAGGCTAACCTTTTCATCGCAAGCGCGCCGTCGACTTGAAATCATGTGCGCCAGCTTCCCACTCCGGGTCGCGTCGCGCTTCCCTCTCCATTCCGGATTGACGTTACTACTTACTACAAAGCTACTCAGCAACTTCGAACTGAAAGGACAGCTCAACTGGCTTGGTCCAGCCCAGCATGGACCTTGGCCGCCCTCCCACCGACACGGGCATCTTGAAAGCCTTGACGTCCAGGACCACCCAGCCGAAAAACCGCTTAGCACCCGAGGACCACCAATCGAATGGACTGTCGACCTCGATGAGCGTATCCTGCCTGTGAGAGTCGAAGTCCCGATCGTCCAAGAACTCGGTCGCCCCAGCAAAGGTGATGATGCCCAGGACCTGAGCCCGTGAAGGAGGAGGGCCAATCTCCGTGTCCACGATGGCACCCTTGGTGGACCCGGCGCCGACGGTCTCTATGAGGAAGAGCTGCTCGCCCTCCGAAAAGCACTGGTAGTGACCGAGGGCGTACTTCCTCACCTCCATCTTTTTGCGCCCAAGCATCAACAGCCGACTCCATGGGTACTGGACATTGAGGCCGCAAAGCGAGAGGCGCTGAGTCGACAAAAAAACTTCATTGGACACCGAAGCAGGCAAGTTAGGATCTTTCAGCCGTGCTGCGCGAGCGACCAACTCGGCCGCCGTGCCGCATTCTCGCATGGATTTCAAGTCTGCAAGAGCTTTCCTTCTGCTGTCACGCAGCGGACCTCTGATCGAAGTGTCCTTCTCCTCGCAGATGCGGATGTGCGCAAAATGCGCTCGCCAGCCATATCCATGCTTCTCCACGATCCCGCGCTGGCTAAGTTCCTGTGACTTTCTACCGAGACCCGCCATGCTGCAACTTCACACCTGCCTCGAGCCAAGGTAGAGATCACAACAAAACTCTGAGCGCAGGAGAAGATCCACAACACCGTCCCCAAGTTGTTTGCGAGGATTTCAAAGCTCCATGCGCTCGGGCCATCCCTCTAGAAGCACGCATGCGTGTAGAGCATCCGATGGAATGTGTGACGGCGCATATGTGTGCATGTTGAGGCGCAGGCAGGAGGCCAAGCAGCTTTGCATTTTATATCTTGGGCTGGTACACGCGAAAGACCCTTTCGCAAGACAGCGTTGAGGGGAGTAAGCAAGGGTTCAAACTAGCGAGAGTTCTGCAGGCGGTGCAAAGCCAAGAGAGCATAATCTCTGCATTTCCACGGTTGCAGAGCTGGCCGAGCCGACAAGATGCAGTCCACAGCTTCATCTGCGCTGCATTGGCCGTCCAGCACCAGCCAAGCGCAGAGGGCAGCAGGACTGCGATTAATGCCACCGAAGCAATGGAAGAGCACGTTGAACTCCTCGCTCGCCTGTTGGCACTGCTCGCGCAGAGTGCGCAAAGTCTGAGCCATGTCTGTCCAAGCCTGGGCGCACCGCTCTGCGATCTCGAAGAACCAGGAAGCATCCCGGTTGCATTTGATTCTGGGGTTTTCGCAAGCTCCTGGCGCAGCCAACCTGCACCTTTAGCACGGAAACCGCGCCGCAGCGTCTGCATAGCATCCCCGCCGGTGTACGACATGCCTGGACCTACAAAAACCCGCACGGTCCAAGCTGGCGCCAAGGTTTCACTCAATAGCGCCTCTCGGGCCAAAGCTAGCACGCACGCATGTAGAGCAACGCATCATGAGGTAACAGACATACAGCACACGAACGCTAGCACCGACACACAGTGCGGGATGCCTTCTCCCCTTCATTGACGTCGGCGCGCCCCAGGACGTCCAAATCGGACATCGCCCAAACATGTTACATTTGAGAGCAACCGCTGATCACTTCCCACAGAGAGACGAGTCTGAGCGCAGGACTGGTTGCCTTCCCTCCAAATCGAGATCACTTTTTTCCCGCTCCACTGCATGGCTGATATTTGTCATGGTTTTGGAAACAGCGAATTCGGGGACCATGGTTTTCGCGATGGTTTTGGAAACAGCTAATTCGAGTACCATGGTTTTCGCGATGGTTTTGGACACAGCGAATTCGGGGACCATGGTGTTTGCGATGGTTTTGGAAACAGCAACTTCGGGAACCATGGTTTTCGCAATGGTTTTGGAAGCGAATTCGAACACACCGTCCCCAAGTTGTTTGCGAGGATTTCGAAGCTCCACAATTCCGCGCCCACGCTATTTGCGAGGATTTCGAAGCCCCACAGGATTTCGAAGCCCCAGAATTCCGCGCCCACGTTATTTGCCAGGATTTCGAAGCCCCACAGTTCCGCGCCCACGTTATTTGCGAGGGTTTCGAAGCCCCACAGTTCCGCGCCCACGTTATTTGCGAGGGTTTCGAAACCCCAGAATTCCGCGCCCACGTTATTTGCTAGGTTTTCAAAGCCCCAGAATTCCGCGCCCATGTTATTTGCGGTGTTTTCATGCGCCCAGATGTCCGTTACCATGCTCTTTGTGGTGTTTTCATGCGCCCAGATGTCCGTTACCATGCTATTTGGTTTTGGAAACAGCAACTTCGGGGACCATGGTTTTCGCAATGGTTTTGGAAGCGAATTCGAACACACCGTCCCCAAGTTGTTTGCGAGGAGTTCGGAGCTCCACAATTCCGCGCCCACGTTATTTGCGAGGATTTCGAAGCCCCACAGTTCCGCGCCCACGTTATTTGCGAGGGTTTCGAAGCCCCAGAATTCCGCGCCCGCGTCATTTGCGAGGATTTCGAAGGCCCACAGTTCCGCGCCCACGTTATTTGCGAGGGTTTCGAAGCCCCAGAATTCCGCGCCCACGTTATTTGCTAGGTTTTCAAAGCCCCAGAATTCCGCGCCCACGTTATTTGCTAGGTTTTCAAAGCCCTAGAATTCCGCGCCCATGTTATTTGCGGTGTTTTCACGCGCCCAGATGTCCGTTACCATGCTCTTTGCGGTGTTTTCATGCGCCCGGATGTCCGTTACCATGCTATTTGCGGTGTTTTCAGACGCCCAGGGTGTCCGCGGCGTACTACGTCTGGAGCAAGCTCCGCGTGTCCGTGGCGTACTACATTTGTACTACAAAAGTCGACTTTCCAGCCACGGAAGCTCCGGGTGTCCGCGGCGTACTACGTTTGTACTACAAAAGTCGACTTTCCAGCCACGGAAGCTCCGGGCGTCCCCGGCGTACTACATTTGTACTACAAAAGTCGACTTTCCAGCCACAGAAGCTCCGGGCGTCCCCGGCGTACTACATTTGTACTACAAAAGTCGACTTTCCTGCCACGGAAGCTCCGGGTGTCCGGGGCGTACTACGTCTGTACTACAAAAGTCGACTTTGCAGCCACAGAAGCTCCGGGTGTCCGTGGCGTACTACATCTGTACTACAAAAGTCGACTTTCCAGCCACGGAAGCTCCGGGGGCGTCCGTGGCGTACTACATTTGTACTACAAAACTCGATTTTCCAGCCACGGAAGTCCCCGGCGTACTACGTCTGTACTACGCAAGTCGAAAAAAAAACGCAAAAACACTACGGTTTTAGCACCGCGACCACGCGAAAACCCGCAGAGGGGTTACGTTTGTATGTCAAAAAACGCAAAAACACGACGGTTTTGGCACCGCGCCAACGCCCAAACCCGCAGAGGGGTTACGTTTGTATGTCAAAAAACGCAAAAACACGACGGTTTTGGCACCGCGCCAACGCCCAAACCCGCAGAGGGGTTACGTTTGTTTGTCAAAAAAGGCAAAAACACGATGGTTTTGGCACCGCGCCAACGCCGAAACCCGCAGAGGGTTGACGCGCGCACGAAAAAAATGCAAAAAACGACGGTTTTAGCACCGCGACCCAGCGATTACCCGCAGAGGGTTGTCCGCGCACAGAAAGAAACGTAAAAAAACGATGGTTTTAGCACCGCGACGACGCCGAAACCCGCAGAGGGTTGTCCGCGCAAATCAAGAAACGTAAAAAAACGACGGTTTTAGCACCGCGACCACGCCGAAACCCGCAGAGGGTTGCAATCCCGATTGGCGATGTCAACCCAGCCCGCCGCCTTAGAAAGAGTAATTTTAATTTAGAAATCTAGGACTGGGTACGAAGGTCTAGTAAATTCTACGTAAATCTAGAAATTTGTATTCACTGATTACTAAGCTCTATGCAATTCACTCTATGCAATTCACTCTATGCACTTCCCTCTATGCACTTCACTCTATGCACTTCACTCTATGCACTTCACTCTATGCACTTCGCTCTATGCACTTCACTCTATGCACTTCACTCTATGCACTTCACTCTATGCACTTCACTCTGTGCACTTCACTCTGTGCACTTGCCTCTATGCACTTCACTCTATGCACTTGCCTCTATGCACTTCACTCTATGCACTTCACTCTATGCACTTCACTCTGTGCTTCACTCTATGCACTTCATTCTATGCACTTCACTCTATGCACTTCACTCTATGCACTTCACTCTATGCGCTTCACTCTGTGCACTTCACTCTGTGCGCTTGCCTCTATGCACTTCACTCTATGCACTTCACTCTATGCACTTCACTCTGTGCACTTCATTCTATGCACTTCACTCTATGCACTTCGCTCTATGCACTTCAGTCTATGTTGTTGTGTCAGGGGGCTCCGCACGGAAGAACCCTTCGCGATGCTTTCGGGAATTAAAGCAAAATCAAATACATTCCTCAATTCCTTATCATATCTAATATCATTAGAATATTGTCTCTGGCAGAAGGCTGCCGTGCAATTTAGTTTCCGGATGCAGGTGCTCAAGACGCTGGGAGACGGGAGCGGCGCTTAGATTTCCATAACGCGGCATAAGTACCGTGAGCGCATGGTTGCCTTAGTTATCCTGATATATTCCCCCAACTTTGCGCTACAAATTCCCTCTTGGCCTCTACTTGCATCCCCCGACTCCCCGCCTGGACCCTGCTGCGCTCGAGTTAGTCTCCTTCGGCCATGTTCCCCTGATTTCAGGACATATGGTTCAGTTCTGAAAGCCCAGAACAAGCAGACCAATGAGTGGGTGCGCGAGCCTGCATTAATGGAGCCTCCTCGCCTTCCACCCCCCAAGAGTCCGAAGCCTCTGAACACCCGGCAGGTGGCCATCAAGAAGATGAAACAGAAGTATTATAGCCGGCGCCCTACTTCCGGCCCTTCTTCCTGCACGACTTCAGTTCCTAAACCCTAAACCCCAAACCCCAAACCCCAAACCCCAAACCCCAAACCCTAAACCCTAAACCCTAAACCCTAAACCCCAAACCCTAAACCCTAAACCCTAAACCCTAAACCCTAAACCCCAAACCCTAAACCCTAAACCCTGCTCACTTGCGCCGAGCCCAGGCTGGGATGAGTGCATGAAGCTTCGAGAAATCGCATCCTTGCGGAAGCCGGGGCCTGGGAAAGGGTTTAGGGTTTAGGGTTTAGGGTTTAGGGTTTAGGGTTTAGGGTTTAGGGTTTAGGGTTTAGGGTTTAGGGCATCCCTCCGGGCACTGAACCTCAAATCCTAGGCGCTCCCTCAGCGGCGCTTTCCCCCCCCCCCCCGCCCCCCGTCAGGCTGATACATCCCAACATTGTGAAGTTGAAGGAGGCGCTTGTTGTTGTCTGAACGCGTGAAGTTGGCTTTTAAGTGCCATGTTCGCAGCAGGTCATCCGAGAAAACGATGAGCTTCATCTAGTTTTCGAACACATGGAGGACTGCCCTTGATGCCTCTTGAGACTCTTGGACTCTTGACGCCCGAAACCACTGTAACCACCGGCAGCTTGGCGAGGCCAACCTGTACGAATTCATGAAATCCAGAGTTAAGGGCTTGGCGTCGTGACCCTCAAGCCCAAACACCCGAAGCCCTATGAGAGAACCACTGAGGTTCGTGCGATACCAGAGAGCAAGGTCCGAAACATCATGTTCCAGACCATGCAGGCAAGCAGAGGGCCGGCCATCAAGCAGCAGATGCAGCCCAAATTCCCATATTTGGGCATGCGTTCACTTTGCAGGCCATGAACTACGTGCATAAGCATGGTTACTTTCACCGAGACATGCTGCAAGCTCAGTGCAGCACCGCTGTAGCTGTTTTAAGGGCGGACGAGTTGTGGGTTGATCACATGTTTAAAAGACCCTGGTGGGCTCTCTGTTATATTGCGAGTACTTATGTTTTCGCGAAACCAGGAAATGCCCATGTTTTTTGACAAGATTTCCAAATCTTTCGATCCTAGACCCTACAGCAAACGTGTCTCCTGCCCAGGAAGCCCGAGAATCTTCTAGCCGGCGCCTAAGTGCCAAATCTTTGCACTGCTCAGGGGCCCTCCCAGGGTGCTCCCCTTAAACTCTTCTGAAGCCCTCATGAGCCCCAAGCCCTCAGCCCTAAACCCCAAACCCTACACCCTACACCCTACACCCCACACCCTAACCCTAAACCCTAAACCCGAAACCCTATATAGAGACCCTAAAGACCCTTAGTAGCGACTGGAGGTCAGTGGAGAGACAGTCAAGATGGCAGACTTCGGCTTGGCGCGCGAAATCAGAGCGCTGGGGGGCTCAGAGACCCGGTTTAGGGTTTAGGGCTTAGGGTTTAGGGTTTAGGGTTTACGGTAAGGCAGTTGCGGGTTTGTTTGGGGCGGTCTTTGGGTGCTTTGAGGTAGTCGGTTGTTTTTTTTGGGGTTCTGGGGTGGTTGTGCTGGGTTCTACGATGAGCTGCCTGATGAAAAATACTCAGTTCAACTACTAATATATTTCACTGCAATTTCAGTTTATCAGGTTTTCATACATCAGATCGTCTTTTGCAATTTGAAGCATGAGTTTATACAATGCACGCCATCTTACTCTAATTGATGGTATACTCCCGTTTATCAGCAAAACTTGCACATTCCTAAGTCCTAAACCCTAAACCGTAAACCGTAAACCCTAAACCCTAAACCCTACACCCTGAACCCTAAACCCTAAACCCTAAACCCTAAACCCTAAACCCTAAACCCTAAACCCTAAACCCTAAACCCTAAACCGAGACTTGGGAGTTCCAGGCGCCCGCCCTTCACGGAATACGTCTCGACTCGGTGGTACCGGGCACCTGAGGCCTGCCAGTGAGCTGAGCTTAGGGTTTAGGGTTTAGGGTTTAGGGTTTAGGGTTTAGGGTTTAGGGTTTAGGGTTTAGGGTCTAGGGCTTAGGGTTTAGGGTTGAGGGTTGAGGGTTTAGTTAGGGTTTAGGGTTTAGGGTTGAGGATTAAGGGTTAAGGGTTTTAGGGTTTAGGGTTTGGGGTTCAGGGTTCAGGGTTTGGGCTTAGGGTTGAGGGTTGACGGTTGAGGGTTTCGGGGTTTCGGGGTTTCGGGGTTTCGGGGTTTCGGGGTTTCGCGGTTTCGGGGTTTCGGGGTTTGGGGGTTTCGGGGTTTCGGCGTTCAGGGTTTCGGGTGCTCCTCCAATGGCGGTGCAGGTGCTGCTGCGTAGCTCCGTCTACAACTCCCCGCTGGACATTTGGGCCGCCTGGCATGCGTCAAGGGTTTAGGGTCTAGGGTTTAGGGTTTAGGGTCTAGGGTTTAGGGTTAGGGTTTAGGGTCTAGGGTTTAGGGCCTCCTTCAAATCCTTACAGTCCACCCCTCCCCCTTTCTTTAAACATATCTTCTTGGGCATTTGTGATCAAGGGGGGGGGGTGCAATATTGGGGTCGAGGGGGCTGCAAGGAACCCTAGACCCCTAACCTTGGGATGTTCCCGCTCATACTAACAGTCCTTAATAGGGATTACAGTACCCCCTATTGTAATCCATCGAAAGGGGAACATCCCTACACCCGAAAACCCTAAACCCCAAAAAGCACCGCCCGGCGCGCGCAATAAGGCCTGCGGCGGTATCATGGCCGAGCTGTACACGCTGAGGCCAAGCCGTCTCTGAGCCGCCGTGGAGAGGGTTTCCGTAAACCCTAAACCCTAAACACCCTGAACCCTAAACCCCAAAACCTTCTAAACCCTAAACCCTGAACCCTGGACCCTGCGCCCTGAACCCCCTAAACCCCAAACCCCAAACCCCAAACCCCAAACCCCAAACCCCAAACCCCAAACCCTAAACCCCAAACCCCAAACCCCAAACCCCAAACCCTAAACCCCAAACCCCAAACCCTAAACCCCATCGGGGGTTTCCTGGGATGTTTAGGGTTCCCTGTACTCTGGGAAGGCCGCTCTTCCCAGGCGCGTCTGAGAGCGATCAGTGCCTCGGCGCATCTCGCGGACAGACCGAGGGTTTGGGAGTTCAAGGTTTAGGGTTTTTTGGTTCAGGGTTTAGGGTTTAGGGTTTAGGGTTTAAGGTTATAGAGTTTAGGGTTTCAGGTTCAGGTTTTCGGGTTTAGGGTTGGGAGTTTAAGGTTCAGGTTTCGCTCCCTTGTCCCCATCAGCGAGGGCCTGCCCCGTGCCTTTGTGGGTGCGCGGGGGGTGTCTCTGGCCTGAGGCTCTACAAGATCTGCTCCGTGCTTGGCACGCCCACAACAGCACGGATCTTACAAGGTCAACGAGGTCTATCTGATGTCTCCATGCTGTCCGTGCCATGACTCCTAGTCTTGTCACGCAAGGTGAGCTGGCCAGATGGGTTTAAGTTGGCCTCACAGCTCGGCTACCGATTTCCGCAGTCCCAGCCTGAGCTGCGTTTTGCAAAGCGAAGCTGCGAACCCCTCCCTAAACCCCAAACCCCAAACCCCAAACCCCAAACCCCAAACCCCAAACCCCAAACCCCAAACCCCAAACCCCAAACCCCAAACCCCAAACCCCAAACCCCAAACCCCAAACCCCAAACCCCAAACCCTAAACCCTAAACCCTAAACCCCAAAACCCTCCGCACCTGAGGTTTGTGCCTACAAGGCTGGAGACCCTGGTGCCGCAGGCAAACGCCGACGGCATCCAGCTTATGCAGGTGCCGCGACGCTGAAAGAGCGCCCCCCCCCCCCCCCCCACGAGTTGTTTTGGGCTGTTTCTTGGAGGGAATGAGGGAATGAGGTACCCTATATAATCCCTTAATCATTATATTTAGGACCCTAATATAATAATTCCCTGCTAAGAACCAGGGGTTTTTGGGCTTCAAGCCCTAGCGCTCGTCCAGGCCATGATGCAGTGGGACCCCAATCGGCGGCACTCCGCAACGAAGATCCTGCATCATCCATACTTTGAGGTTGGACCCGGGTCTTCTTAAATTGCAATGCACTCCTCCTCAAATCAAGAGATGCAGTGTGCGCGAAGACAGGCAGATGCTCTGAACGAAACTGCTTGGCACTTGGAGATCCATCCTTTTTTCGTGCAGCGGGGTTGGTCGCGACATGCACAGAGTCGTGCGGAACCCCAGAGTCGCAGGCTCAGTTCGGCCTGCCCTCCGTTCCTGCTGGCACTGCCTCAGAGGCCCTTGCGGTGTGCTGCCAGGCAGTCACTCCCCAGCCTTTTAAGCACCCTAAACCCTAAACCCTAAACCCTAAACCCTAAACCCTAAACCCTAAACCCTAAACCCTAAACCCTAAACCCTAAACCCTAAACCCTAAACCCTAAACCCTAAACCCTAAACCCTAAACCCTAAACCCTAAACCCTAAACCCTAAACCCTAAACAGCATCTTTAGCCTTTTAGCCTTACTCATCCCTACACAAAAGCCGAGTCAACCTCTAGCACTTGACGTGGACTTCTCTGCAGATCTCTGCCCAAGCCAGGAAAGGGTGTGCAGATGGTTTGCAGCTTAGGTCAAGAAGTCTGCAGCGAGCTTTCAGGATTCGAGCATTCGCATTCGCACAGGCCGCAGCCCGACGTAGGACCTGACCTAAGTGTCATCTGGGGGGGTTCTCCGTGGGCCTCCGTGGGCTGCATGGCGAGCACAGGGCTCCGTATTGGGAGCCAGCCGACGCTGTACCCGTCCCACCCACTGACCCCCAACTACCTGCGCCGTGAACTCCCGGTGGTCGACGTGCGGAATCTCTGGAGGTTGCGGGACGAAGGGAACTGCCCGCTCCCGAATAGCAAAAGCGCCACGTCCTCCAGCTTCGCGGTATCGCAACACTCCGTGGAGTTTGACTCCGTCAGCAGCTTCAGGGACACCATCCGCAAGCACACCCGATCACCCTGCAGCCCGTCCCAGAAGTACAAGTATGGGTCGGCCACGGCGCATGAGATAGGATGGTTTCTGGAAGACTCCCCCATTCAGAAGATTGCGTTGCGAAGGCCCAGGCACGGGCTGAAGGAGTCTGAAACCACGCGATACTACAACAACATGAAGGCGACCGGCTCTGAGGCATCCCTCCGTCTGATTCTGCCGTAGGATTTCAGCAGAGTGCGCCTGTCTCACAACAGATGACTTTTCAGGTGATAGGGTTTAGGGTTTAGGATTTAGGGTTTAGGGTTTAGGGTTTAGCTTGATGTACTGCTGAGCGAGACATAGCGAGACGTAGCGCAAGTGTGCTGCCGCAGCCGAAGGCCCCGACCAGCGCACCAATCAGCATGCGATCACACCAAAAGCCTGGGCCGCTCTGTTTCAGTCAATCATGGGCCCTGACATGCCCTGAGGATGGTCCCTTGCCTCATTTGAGGAAGGTATACTAAGGGGTATAGAAGGGGGTGACGCAAGCGCCTTGAGGAAGGTATACTAAGGGGCAAAGAAGGGGTGACGCAGCGTCGGCCTCACGGGCAACTTGGTTGTTGTAGGGAGGCCCTAAACCTTGCAACCCTAGGGCCCGCAGTTTCATCCCCTCCCCCTACTATCACCACCCCCCCCTACCCCTTAATATTAAACACCCTCAGTATAGTCATATTATGCTATATTGAGGGGGGTTTCATACTAATATGACACCCCCACCCCTTACCCCTTAAGACTAAACACCCTCAGTATAGTTATAGTTCTATTATAGTATATGGGGGGGGGTTATGTAATACTAGGGACATAGGGGGGGGGTTTCGTGCTAGGGGAGGGGATTCATGTTAGGGTACCATGTTCTACTATAGCATATGGGGGTATTCAATATAAGGGGTGTAGGGGGGGGGGTTTCATGCTAGGGGGAGGGGATTTATTGTATGTTGGACATGCGAGGCGGCGCCAGCAGCCCCGAGCGCGGCCCGGCGCCCGTTCGTTGGCCCTCCGATGCTCCGAGTTTTTGGAATGTGCCACCCAAAAAACTTCCGAGGCCCCAAACCCTAAACCCTAAACCCTAAACCTTAAACCCTAAACCCTAAACCCTAAACCCCAAACCCTAAACCCTAAACCCTAAACCCCAAACCCCGAACCCTAAACCCCAAGCCCAAAACCCGTCTCGCTGAAGGCGCTGCCCAAGCAGAAGCCAGGGATTCCGCGGCTTGGAATCCATTGGCCGTAGGATCATCGACAAGTCACAACCTTGTATGCGAAGGGTTTATGTTTGGGGTTTGGGGTTTGGGGTTCAGGGTTTAGGGTTTAGGGTTCAGGGTATGAGTTCCATTGCTTCTTCTTATTCTTGTTCTTACCATTATGGTTACATTTGCTGCTATGGCGATTCCTCTTGCTGCTACTGTTACTTTTACTCTTACTCTTACTCTTACTCCTACTCTTACTTTTACTCTTCCTCTTCCTCTTCCTCTTCCTCTTCCTCTTCCTCTTCCTCTTCATCTTTCTCCTCCTCTTCCTCCTCCTCTTCCTCTCACTCTCACTCTCACTCTTACTCTTACTCTTATTCTCACTCACTCTCACTCTCACTCTCACTCTGACTCTCACTCTCACTCTCACTCTCACTCTCACTCTCACTCTCACTCTCACTCTCACTCTCACTCTCACTCTCACTCTCACTCTGACTCTCACTCTCACTCTCACTCTCACTCTTCCTCTCACTCTTCTTCCTCTTGCTAGTACTAGCACTATGCTTGGGGTGTTCTTATGATCAGTGTTTTTGTGACTAGCATCATTAGTTTACGAATCTACTGCTATGAATACACATGATTACGCATAGTCATTATGTCACCCTGTGGGCTCATGTATGGAAACTTGGACTTTAGGTCGCTACCCGGTGGAAGCAGCAGCCTCACCGGTAGCCACAGCCTCTCTGGCGGCGACGCCCTCTTTAACAGCAAAGGAAGCCGTAGCCTCGGAGGTCTCAGAGAGCTTAGGGTTTAGGGGTTTAGGGGTTTAGGGGTTTAGGGGTTTAGGGGTTTAGGGGTTTGGGGGTTTAGGGGTTTAGGGGTTTAGGGTTTAGGGGTGTAGGGGTTTGGGGCTTAGGGGAGTTCGCTGCTGGGAATTTCTCCTCCGCTTCTGAGGCTGGAAAGATAGCCACGGCCCGAACTCGGGCCGAAGGTGCGGCTATACTGCCTCATACTGGCCATACCCCAATGCACAAAGCAGTAGTTTTTTTTTTTATTCTGCGACAGTTGTGGTGTGGTGGGTCTGCAGGCCCTCTGGCTTCGGCAGCGGGAAAGAAAATGCAGGCGGTTCAAAAGGCCCGGGATCCCCCCCCCCCGCCCCCCTTCCAATAAAATAGGTGTGTTTGTACATGGGGTTCGGGATCCTCCCCTTAAAAAAACATGACGTGCGTTGGCGCATCTAGGAGAAATTCGAATCGTTCGAGGCTTCAACCTACCGCCGCTGGGCGCACCTTCCATGGCACCCATGGAAGGCGGGTTGCTCGTTGTCCGCCCTAAACCCCTAAACCCAAAACCCAAAACCCTAAACCCTAAACCCTAAACCCTAAACCAACCCTAAACCCTAAACCCTCAAAAACAAAGCTGGGGCTCAACGGGAGAGCGGCGCCTTGAGGCCGGAAGAGCTCTGGCACCGGCAAAAAGAGCTCCTGGGCTTTTGAAGATGTCTGGAGAAATGGAATGATTTAGGGTTTAGGGTTTAGGGTTTAGGGTTTAGGGCTTGGGCTGTTCCCCCCCTGGTACTAACAGTCCTTAATAGGGATTATAGTTTAGTACTGCTGGGGTTTCGGGCTTAGGGCTTGTGATGTTCCCCCCTTATACTAGCAGTCCTAAATAGGGATCATAGTACACCCTATTAGAATCCCGAGTAAGGACTAGCATCCCAAACCCTAAACCCTAAACCCTAAAACCCTAAACCTAAACCCTAAACCCTAAGCCCTAAACCCTAAACCATAAGGGGATCTCAAGGAATCATGTCTAGAGCCTCGTGGGCGCAGAGGTCCCGGGGCGCGCTACCTCAAGATGGCACGCTACCAGCCAGGCGCTCCCAGCATGGCAGCTTTGCAAATTTAGGGTTTAGGGTTTGGGGTTGTGATTTAGGGTTTAGGGTTTAGGGCTTAGGGCTTAGGGTATTTAGGGTTTAGGGTTTAGGGTTTAGGGCAGTCAGTGCTGCGGACCGGGCACAAGGGAAGGCCCGGGTTCCACTCAGAAGCCGGGGAGGAATGCCGCAGCAGATGTCGTCCTTGCCGTCGGTGCGGCCGAGTTTGCCTCACGGGGTCAGGGCCCGAGTGTACTCAGGGAAATACGCCGGGGAGGAAGGGTGAGACACATTTGCTTCCTCCTCTGCCTTAGCCTGACCAGCTTGGGGGGTGGCATGTAGGGTTTAGGGATTAGGGTTTAGGGTTTAGGGTTTAGGGTCTAAGACACCTTTGCTTGGGAGAACTCTGAAGCCGAGGCTGGCATGCCGGGTGTGGCCGGTGTGCGGACCTCAGTCTGAGAAATTCTGGTCCTTGCAAGCCAACCCTAAAGCCCTGAACCCTAAAGCCCTGAAACCTTAAATCCCTGCACCCTACACCGTAAAATAAACCCTAAACCCTAAACCCTAAACCCTAAACCCTAAACCCTAAACCCTAAACCCTAAACCCTAAACCCTAAACCCTAAACCCTAAACCCTAAACCCGAAACCATAAACCCTAAACCCTAAACCCTAAACCCTAAACCCTAAACCCTAAACCCTAAACCCTAAACCCTAAAACCCTAAAACCCTAAACCCTAAACCCTAAACCCTACACCCTACACCCTAAACCCTAAACCCTAAACCCTAGGAAGTGTCAGGTTCCAAGTGCCGGCAATGGGCGGCCGGATGCCTTGCCGGAGGCAGCTGTTATGTTTGGAGATGTTTTGGGCTTTAGGGTTTAGGGTTTAGGGTTTAGGGTTTAGGGTTTAGGGTTTAGGGTTTAGGGTTTAGGGGGGAGTGTACTTGGACGAACGGCTGATGAGGAACCGTAAACTCTAAACACCTTAAGCCATGCTTCCAGGATCTTTGTTAAGGTTGCAGGGTTGCTGTGCCCTGTGCCACAATGCCCATGCTGGGACCCTAAACCCTAAACCCTAACCCCTAACCCTAAACCCAAACCCTAAACCCTAAACCCTAAACCCTAAACCCTAAACCCTAAACCCTAAACCCTAAACCCTAAACGGTTGGAACCCTCGAGAATTCTGCTCTGCACACAGGTTGGCGGAGGGCCCACCCGACAGAGCTACTTCGGAGCCCATGCGGCCAGCACCCCAGAGAAGACCAACCCTCGGTTTAGGGTTTAGGGTTTAGGGCTAGGGTTTAGGGTTTAGGGTTTAGGGTTAGGGTCTAGGGTTTAGGGCTCAGGGTTTAGACTTGGTTAGGAGCATTGACGACGAAATCGAAAGCAACACCCTGTCACGGAGTCGAGCTAGAAAAGGAAAGAAAGGGACCATACATGTCCTTAGCTGGTGTCATGAGACACGTACCTAACTAAGGCAGGAGCGATTACTTCAGTTGACCCACACACACACACACCAAAATGTGAACGTAGGACAACAACATCTTTGACCTTAACTGGCACACTGTGAAGGATGTTCCCCCTTATACTAGCAGTCCTAAATCGGGATTATGTTCCCACCCCCTCCTCACCCCCTCCCCCCCCCCTATTATCATCCCCATGAAGGATGAAGGTGTGCGAGTCCAATCGGGCCTGTTTGTTTGCCGAAGAACTGCGTGGCGAATGCCCCTATCTGGCGAGGGGGCAGGGTTCTTGGGCACAGAGTGGCACTTCTCAAAATACATGCACCGCCACATCGCATGTTCCTGAGTATGTCCTTAGCTGGTGTCATGAGGCACGTACAAAGCAGGAGCCACTACTTTAGCTGACACACACACACACAGACGCACTCACCAAAAAGTGAACGGAAGAAAGTAAAAACGACGACGACGACGACGACGACGACGAGGATGGGTATTCCAAGACCGGTACCCGTCTGTTCCCAAAATAGTATAACATGTCTTGAAGGGATTCCGAAACGGGTACCCCGAGTTTTCGGAAAGACCCGTTAGGGTTTAGGGTATAGGGTTTTCAAACCCACAGGGAAAAGGAGACTAGCGTGAAAACTATAACTCCGAATCGGATACCTTAGTGTGAAGACGCACACATTAGACCTTACAACAATTTCGTTTGGTTCAAAACGGGTACAGAATACAATTACTCCATTTTCCGAGTCGGCCGTTTCCTTGCTGCGGATTCGACCGAAACTTGGTTTCTGAATCACTCGCTCGTAGCTCGTTTCAGCAATTCTGGTTTCCCGGTTCAGCGGCTTCCGATTCAGCCATGCTTGTTTAGGGTTTAGGGTTTAGGGTTTAGGGTTAAGGGATGTTTAGGGTTTAGGGTTTAGGGCTTAGGGCTTAGGGCTTAGGGCTTAGGGTTTCTGATGTCGCCGATTGCTTTCCGACGTATTCGTTGGCCTGCTCAGAGCAGTTGTCTACCTGACCTGCCAACTTCACAGGTGCAACTAGCAATCTCTCATCTCTTGTTTTACCGTATCGGGCAGTTGACGGGGCAAACGTATACATGGGCTTTGCGAAAGAAATTCTTGCGACGTGTACTTAGTAGACAGTTGAGGACTTCAGGGTTTAGGGTTTAGGGTTTCAGGTTCAGGGGTTGTGAGTTTGAATAGAAGGGTGCAGGTTGAGGCAGGAACAACCCGTGCCTGAGCAATCGCTGAGGCCAGAATGCTGGGCTGAGGCAGCTGCGGGTGATTGAACCCCTGGTTCTCTTCGCAGGGAAGGAGGGAATTAGGGCCCCCATATAGAGCCTTTAAGGGATTATACAGTTCATGCCCGCATTCCCTACTAACCCTAACCCCAAACCCCAAACCCCAAACCCTAAACCCTAAACCCTAAACCCTAAACCCTAAACCCTAAACCCTAGACCCTAATGAGAGTTGTTTCACTGGGTTTAGGATTCAGGGTTCATGGTGCTCTCAGAGTCGTCCTTGGAGGTGGCTGCCAGCCCTGTCATGTCAGGGGTGTGTGCGGGCTCAGGGTTTTGGGCCTAAAACTTGAGGGTTTAGGATTTAGGGTTTAGGGTTTAGGGTTTACGTTTTAGGGTTTGGGGTTTAGGGCGCTTAGGGTTCAGGGCGTTTAGTGTTTAGGGCGCCTTTATTTCGGGAGAATGCCAACATCATGCCACGATCGTGCGCGGTGAAGGTTCCCAAGACGGGCCAGGGCAGCAGGTGAGCGGTGGCACTGTAGGCGCAAACCGTGAGCTTGCAAGAATTTCTCCTGCGCTTCATATGTCTTTTGATAAGGGTTTAGGGTTTAGGGTTTAGGGTTTAGGGTCTCAAACATACACACAGAATGTCAGCTTGCGAGTATGGAGAAGACGATCATGGGATCTCATGCCCGCATTTTCCACGTCTCTTTGGCTGGCCTCCTAAATCGGGTGACAGGGTTTCACCGGCCAGGCCGCTCATTTCCTCTGCTTTGCGTGGGTCCTGAATCACGGACGGACATAGTGAAGTCTGAGCCGTGTCTCCCCCGAGCTACATGTTTGCTGAACCCACCGGAGGAGTTGCCAAGATTGTCCCAACTCTAAGCAAGGGCCGCGCAATACCAGCAGTTTCACAGTTATGCGTGATTTTTGTCTCGTGGTTTGGGTGTTCCTTGCCAGACACTCGTGCGATCGGCGCTTTTTCAACACCCCAATCACGGAATGCGTCTGTTTCACCTGGCGTAGCTACTGCACGGCTTATGAATATCTCGGGTGTCACAGGCAGAGAAGCCTCAATGCGTTTCTGGCTGGCATATGCTTCGAAGATGGACCGTATGCTCTGCCGTCCCGAGTGCTTGAAGGCGCATGCACAGATGGAAGCTCAGCATTCGTACTCTCAAAGACACCACCACTCTCCGCATGCGGCTTGCGCAGCTCCATGAGCTTGCAGACTCAGACCTGAGCACGTGAGAACTCCACATGCTCGGGATCTGTGCTCGTGAGGAAAATCTGACCGCTCCTTCCTCCTTCGTGGAAGGTCCTTTGCCACACCGGACAAGTTGAGCAGCTGCAGCCATCATTCATCATCAATGAGCCTGCGCGTCACAGTACTCCTTCTCGCAAGTCCCCCGCGTTAGGACAAGCTCCTTCACCAAAGCTTGACTGCCTTGGGTTCAGTCAGGTGTGCAATCACCAACAAAAAGGGGCGCTACATGGCCCCTCTTTTCTTGTGTATACCAAACTCCCGTTTGCCGGTGCCGAGTTCCGAGCAAACCCCGTGTGCCGCGCAGGAAATCTGCAGCCCGGCCTCCAGCCGCTCACCGGCCCCATGGATCCGATCACAGTTCCCAACAAGGAGAGTAATTCCCTTAGGGTCCCTATATGAATATGCTTTCATACACCCCCCCCCCCCCAGCACCTGATTAAAAATTATTACGGCCCCGAGGGTAGCCACCTAGTTTTCCTGGTGACTGAAGCCCGGCTTCTCTCCTTCCTCCTCCAGCATACTATCCGTTTAACATCCTCTTAAGGGTTGAAACCTGAATCCTTGAAGCCAGCACTGGGCAAGGACGTGTTCGGAAGGAAAGTCGATCCGACCAGGACAGGGATTGGCCAGAGGGCAACATCGGCGCCCAGCCGTGTTGACAAATACTTCGCGGTTCTTCGTTGGGAAATAGGTATGTGCCCTCTACGATGTAAGGCACCTGAGGGACCTTGGCATGTCGTGTCTGTTATTCATGTGCCCCATGCCAGGGCAAGCTTGATGCCCAAACCCGAAAGCTTGATTCCTAAACCCTAAGCCCTAAACCCTAAACTCTAACCCCTAAGCTCTAAACTCTAAACCCCAAACCCTAAACCCCAAACCCTAAACCCTGCTCCACAACAGGAACCAATCCGCAAGTTTCGCCGGCGCCGACGCCTTCTGCGTGCCGAAAAGGCTTGGGCGGCAGAGCGTCTCAAGGGTAAGTTGCTGCATAACCCCCTAACCCCTAGACCCTAAACCCCAAACCCTAAACCCTAAACCCTAAACCCTAAACCCTAAACCCTAAACCCTAAACCATCCCTCAGCCTTCAGTAGAGATGCTTCTGCTGGCAGTGACGACGCCACCGTGCGAAGCGGCAGCCGCATCACCCAGGGCAACCTGGAGCTGAGTGAAGCCCTGGGCCCAGCTCAGTTTGGGGTTGAGGGTTTGGGGTTTAGGGTTTTGGGGTTTGGGGTTTAGGGTTTGGGGTTTGGGGTTTAGGGTTTGGGGTTTAGGGTTTGGGGTTTAGTTAGGGTTTAGGGTTTAGGGTTTAGGGCTTAGGGCTGGAAGTTCTTCCCCCGGTCTTCCCGAGGGCGGGCTTGGCGCGCGAGAGCCTACGCCGGAGCGGCGGTCGGTCCCCGGCCAGGCGCCGGGAGCTGCCATTTGCAGGGTTTTTCGGGGTTTTTAGGGCTTTTGGGGTTTTGTAGGGGTTTTTAGGGTTGTTACGGGTGTTTAGGGCTTTTAGGGTTCGTAGGGTTTTTAGATTTTTAAAGATTTTTTAAGGGTTTTTTTAGGGTTGTTGGGGTTTTGGGGGTTTTGCGTTTTTTTTTTTTTTTGTTTTTTTTTGGGTTTTGGGGGGGTTTTCGGGTTTTAGGGTTCAGCTAGGGAACTCGGGAGCTCTGCAGAACTTGGGTTCACCTCCTTGATTGTCTCCGAGATGCTGTAAGCTTTCAGTTGACATGTGGTAGCGGTGCAGAAAAATGGGCCTGCCCCCAAGATAGCCATGAGGCAGGTTCACTTTTTGGAGTGAGGGTTCCCTTGAAGCTCTCCCCCAAGTGGACAGTGCATGCCTCTCTCTGGGCATGGTGCCTCATTCTTGCTGCAACTCTGCAACTGCGATGTGACTTCTTTGTGGTGCTTTACTGTAACTTTAGATCTTTAGCTTTTTTGGGTTTCTTGGGTTTCGTAATAAGGCAGCTAACAGTTTAATTGTTTACTACCCTCCTAAGTGCAGCCAAGACTTGTCTTTCTTCCAGGTGTTGCGTGGCGGACTTCGGCCAAAGGTGGGCATGGGCCGGGGCGCAGTGTGCGTGATGTGGGGGTTGACGGATATTTGGGAATCCCGAAGATAAACCCTCAAATGGTAGGATTCCCTTATACAAATAAGGACCTCCTTAGTAAGGTACCCCCTAGTTTCCTAAACCCCAAACCCTAAACTTTAAACCCTAAACCCTAAACCCTAAACCCTATACCCTAAACCCTAAACCCTAAACCCTAAACCCTAAACCCGAAACCCCAACTCCCCTGAACCCTCTGCGCGATCCTCCTCCGTGAGGATCACCTTACTGGCAGCGCCTGCGTGACTTCTGCCGCTCTCCCGCAGATCTCCGATCCCCAAGAGCCCCAGAGTGACAGAGGGTTTAGGGTTTAGGGTTTAGGGTTTGGGGTTTAGGGTTTAGGGTTGCATCTTTCCCCGCCCCTCTTTTTTTTCCCAGGACCGGCAGGATCACCCCCTGGCCTTGCCGCGCAAGGCGCGCTCGTCAGGGGCCTTAACCCCACCCTGCAAACCCTAAGCCGCCCAAGCGCCTTAAACCCTAAACCCTAAACCGAAACCCCTTCACCTGCCCCTAAACCCAGAAAACCCTAAAACCCCAAGCCCCTAGACCCCCTAGACCCTAAACCCCTAACGCAAGCCCTCATTCCCCAAAGCACTAAACCCAAGAAGCCCTTCCCCCCAAAAGGCAAAACACTTGCTTAAGGAAGCCTTTCCCCCAAAAGGCGAACCCTTAATTCCGTAATAGGGATTATAATAGGGATACTAGAACCCCTATTCAGGACTGTTAGTATAAGGGGGAACATCCCAACCTAAGCTCCCAAGAAGCCCTTCCCCAAACCCCCTAAACCCCTAACCCCTAACTCCTAACCCCAAACCCTAAACCCTAAACCCTAAACCCTAAACCCTAAACCCTAAACCCTAAACCCTAAACCCCTACAAAAAGGCCGGCAGCGCTGGGCCTGGCACCGGCTCTGGGGGCTCGGTCCACATCATTGCCGGGTGGCGGCCTCCGAAAGCAAAATGGCCAGTTCTCAAAGTTCTGGTCCCTTTCTTGGGGTACCCTAAAACCCTCAAACCCTAAAGCCCTAAACCCCTAAAACCCTAAACCCACAAGGGACCGTAACTTCAAGAAATGGCCAGTTCTCAAAATTCTGGTCCCTTTGTGGGGTACCCGAAAACCCTGAAACCCAAAAAGCCTGAAGCCCAAGAACCCTAAAACCCCTAAAACCCCTGAAACCCTAAAACCCTAAAGCCTAAAGCCCTAAGATCCTAGAACCCTAAACCAACCCCCAAAACCCTAAAACCTGAAAACCCTGAAGCCCTAAAGTCCTAAACTTCCTGGAACCCCTAAAGCCCTAAGCCCAAAAGAGGCCGTAACTTCGAGAAATGGCCAAAAATGCAAGCCTCAGGATGACTCTAAGGCAAGGGGCTCTGCGGTGGCTTCTAGCTCCGGGTTTTGGGGTTTTGGGGTTTAGGGTTTTGGGGTTTAGGGTTTTGGGGTTTTGGGGTTTGGGGTTTAGGGTTTAGGGTTCAGAGCTTTTGCTTGCGAGAGCAGTCGATGCCGCTCTGAGACGTTGAGGCCGACAGGCTTCGTGCCTGCAGGACAAGGCTACGACGTCGACTTGGAGGCCCGTGCACTTCTAGCAAAAGCCCTTAAACTGGGAAGCCCTGGGATGTTCCCCCCTATGCTAACAGTCCTTATAATAGGGATTATAGTCCCCCCCCCCCCCTACTACTATCATCACTATAGAGGACCGTTAGTGTATGTATGTAATGAGAGTTTTGCGGTAACCCCTTTGTTCGGTAACCTCTTCGCGGGGTTACCGGGCCACTCTCTCTGGTATGGGGGAACATGAACAGGGGAAGCCTATGAAATCCCCAAACCTTCAAAACGTTCAGCCACGGTAAGTAAGCCTCTATGAGCGTCCTCTGAATTTTGAGCAGGTGGCGGTTCCTGCTCCTGCGCCGAAGCCGGAGGCTTCTGGCTACAAGCCGGTGTGGGGATGAGTAGGGTTTAGGGTTTAGGGTTTAGGGTTTAGGGTTTAGGGTTTAGGGTTTAGGGTTTAGGGTTTAGGGTTTCGGGTTTAGAGAGTCGACTCGGCGTGGCCGCAAGAGCTGACGTGTACCATCGAGCAGGTGGTGGCCGTTGCATGTACTCAAGGCCTCAGGAAAGAGGCTGCCCCTCACTCCATGGCCTTGAATTCTGCCAAGTGCACTTGTCTCACAACTTCTTCACTGTATCCGAACCCTTGGGACATCGTCCTTCATTGTTGCTTGTATTTTGTTTGGAGCGGCAGTGCCCCGTGGGAGAACCTATACATAGCCATACTCGATGTCTGCACGATTACACCCGAAACCTCAAGCCCAGCCCCTGGCGGGATCAGAAGCATCCTGTCTTGGATGGTCGCGTGGTGAGTGTTCAAAGGGCGCAGCTTCCCTGTTCTTGTGCTCAGTGAGGAGCGGACGCATGTGCCAGCATTTGATGAGTGCTTGGCCTCGTAGCAATTTGCTGCTTGCAAACGTGGACTGCCGACATAGTACCCGACTAGTACCCAGGAAGTGCCAGAACAGCAGCTTAGGTGACTGATGCTCTGCTAGCACCGCTGCCCCGCAAGACTCAGAAGTCACACTGAATGCGTGACTGCTCACTGCATCATTCTCGGAAGTCTCGCATTTTTCTCGCAAGTCCTGTCGAACACTGGCTCACGATGGCTTCCACGGTGGCTGTGACCTTCAACGTGGACTGCTCCTGCACTGAACATGGCCCGGAGCTCAGAATCCAGCAAGGGAAGTGGCAACTTCCCTGAACCCGAACCCCAAACCCCAAACCCCAAACCCCAAACCCCAAACCCCAAACCCCAAACCCCAAACCCCAAACCCCAAACCCCAAACCCCAAACCCCAAACCCCAAACCCCAAACCCCAAACCCCAAACCCCAACCCCACCCCAAACCCCACACCCTAAACCCCAAACCCCAAACCCCACACCCCAAACCCCAAACCCTAAACCCTAAACCCTAACCCCGCTCTCTGCTGAAGGTGAGGAGGTCTTCGTCGTCGGCTCCCACAAGAAGCTCGGAGCCTGGGATGTCACCGAGGCCCTTCTTTCTGGGGAGAGTGGAGGCGACTAGAGCTCCCTAGGATTCCTTAATAGGGTTTAGGGTTAGGGTTTAGGGTTTAGGGTTTAGGGTCTAGGGTTTAGGGTTTAGGAATCCATAAGACCCTAAAAGTCCTCACAGGCCCTTAAACGGCCCCTTAAACGCCTTGAAAACGCATTTAACACACCCTCAAAAAGCCTCCGAAAAGCTCTTGCAAAGCCCTTAACCCTTAACCCTTAACCCTTAACCCTTAACCCTTAACCCTTAACCCTAAACCCTAAACCGTTGCCTGCCACCAGGCGCTCCCTTGCACCACGTCCGCCGCGATGTTTCCGCGTTGGAAGTCCAAAGCAGCCAAGCTGCCAAACGGCAGCAGGAGACTTGCTCGGTTTGGGGTTTTAGAGGTTGAGGGGTTGAGGGGTTTAGGGGTTTTGGGGTTTGGGGTTTAGTAAGGGTTTAGGGGGGTTAGGGGTTTGGGATTTTAAAGTGCTTGGGATTGAGGGGGTTGAGGATTGGCTGGCAGGCCAAGGGTTTGGTGGTACTGCTGGGAGGGCTGCTACTGGTATCCGCGACTTTTTTTGTATTCTTTTTCAGTGGCAGTGCACCGCAAGGGCTGTGGTCTCATGGGCAGTGCGCTTCGCGTTTCGTGCGCGGTTTCGTGGTTAGGTTGTAGGCCTCATGTCTCTGCCAGGATTGAGTTCAGTTTACAGGGTATCTAAGGGGTATAAGGGACCATAGAACTACCCTGAGATTCGTGCCGCAGTCTCGTGTAGGTGCCCGCCTGCCAGGATTGAGTTCAAGGTGGTGATCCGCGGCCCGCGTGGGAACCGTTGGGAGCATGGAGAGAACCGTCTCCTACAGGCCTTGGGAGGGAGAAGTTTGTGGCTTTGGGCCCCAAGACCTAAACCCGAAACCCGAAACCCGAAACCCTAAACCCTAAACCCTAACCCCTACACCCTAAACCCGACACCCTAAACCCTAAACACTAAACCCCAAACCCTGAGCAGCAGCTCTTGAACCTCCACGTTGGTCGATGCCAGGGTTCCCCGAGGCCTCTGTAAGGAATCCCCCAAAAAGGAGGGTTTAGGGTTTAGGGTTTAGGGTTTAGAGTTTAGGGTTTAGGGTTTAGGGTTTAGGGTTTAGGGAGGAGGGCAGCCGCCTGATCCGATTTCAAAGAATCCCCCCCTGCCCCCCCACCTCTGTGCCTCAGGTGGATGTGCCAAGGAATTCCGAGGTGCAGTGGGTTGACAACCTTACACACAGTAAATGCCATGCATATTATATATATATATACATAGAGAATAGTGTCTTCTTCTTCTTACTATTATTACGATTATTATTATTATGATTATTGTTATTATTATTATTATTATTATTACTATTATGATTATTGTTATTTATTATTATTATTATTATTATTATGATTATTATTATTGTTATTATTATTACTATTATTATTATTACTACTACTACTGTTATAGTAATAAAAGAATAACTATTAGTACTATATATACACATGTATATGTATATATATATATGTGTATATATATATATATTTGCATGCAACATCAATTCCTGTAGGCTCTTCAACTTTTGACCTAAATATAGACATGTACAGTAGAGCTGCCGATGTGGTTGCATTGATGTTTGTTCGCGTGGTCACTTCAGAGGGCACCCTCCAGCGTCTTCCCTAAAAAGTCAGTGTTGAAGGAAGTTGGTATCGGAGTTTCATGAGGTCAGAAGTCGCGGGGCAGCTGCCTGTAGCTGTAGCTGGTGCCGAGTTGAGGGCTGATCCGTGGAGACATACTGGACTTCGGTTCCTGCGGTGCCATGCAGGCAAAGATGGTGAGCCTGACTTGGGGGCAGGCTGGTGTCAAGGCCCAAGCATAGCCGGCAACTGACAATAGCTTGTGGCTAGCATTGGCTTCTCAAAAGCTTCAGAAGGTGAAGAATGGCGCGAGTGCTAACATCCATATTCCACAAACGTCTTGCGAAGTACCCTGTAGCCTCTGTGTGGTGAAGCCTAGTGCCTAGGGTGGCAGAGTAGCGGCTGCGGAAGCTTGGTTTCGTATGGAAGGATGCCGAAGGTGAAGACATTGTTGGGGAGTTGCCCACGACCGCCGGTGAGTTTGCGCGGGCCCCTGGGTCAGTCGAACCCTGGTAGCCAGAGTTTCGTGTGTTCTGAGTGGCAAGAGTCCCTCCCATGAATTTGTGGGATCTGCTGAGTTCCGGCGCACCAGCTCCCCTGGTGGTGAAAAGCTGCCTGGCTGCACAGACAGCGCCTTTCTCGTCTGGAGTCTGGGTTGAGGGTTGAGGGGTTACTTGGAGGTTCATGGTACGTCCGAACCAATTACAACAGTACTTGTTACCCACTTATCAGCCCCCTAAGTGCCCTAGCATGGCTATCAGTACCGTTTTTTAGCATCGCCGAGGATGATGCAGAAGCGCGGGAGTCGGCACCTCTGTCGCGGCAGCAACGGTCAAGTGAACCTGGAGATGACAAGGACGGGTGATCCCCTACTTGGAGGTTCATGGTACTTACTGGCCACTTATGACTGTAGTTACAACTCAATTATAAGCACCTTGAGTGCCCTAATATTGTTCTAAGTACAGTTATCGGTACAGTGATAATTGGCTAGGAAAAGGTACCATGAACCTCCAGGTACCCCTGGCATTGAGACCCTTCGAGCTGTGCTTGTACAGAAATGGCCCCCGCACACGAGGCTCTGATGGTGTTGGGAGGGGATTCATGCCATCTTCTGCGAACGCTCAGTTTGGGCGACGTCTTTTCGGTGCCTGCTTCTGGCACTTGTTCTCCTTCTTGCGATTTAGTTCAGGGTGTGCGTGTGAGCAAGCAGGACCCCGAGCTTGCTGTTAATCAATTTCGAGAAGTTCAATGCAGAAGCGGCGCTTCACGAGAAGGACTCGCTGTAGGTGTACGGGCAGGATACGTTGACCTTTAGGACACGTTGACCCTTTAGTGAATTTTAGTGCATACCGGCTCGTCGCACAGCTTGCAGAGTCTTCGAAGGCGCAAAGTCTTGGCAGAGTGCTCCAACCCTAAACCCCAAACCCCAAAAACCTAAACCCTAAACCCTAAACCCCAAAACCTAAACCCTAAACCCTAAACCCTCTGACCCCTCTTGACCCCTTCAAGGAGCTCGACGCCATCGAAGAGCGTGCGCAATTGAACAAGTCGGCGCCCAAGCTTTCCACCGATTCTGTGTGCAACCCCTACACCCCCAAAGACCCTAAAAGGCCCTAAGAGGCCCTGAGGGCCCCAACCAAGGGCCCTGAAGGCCCTAAACGGGTCTAGACTTAGAATGCCTAAGGGCCCCCAAAGGAGGCCCGAAAGGCCCGAAGGGGCCCTAAACGAAGCCCCAAAAGAGCCCCTAAAGGCCCGAAACCCCCGCTGTCTGAAGCGGCACTGGCCCAGGCTTCAGCGCAAGATGAAGAGCACCCACCTGATCGACACTTGCTACAAGCTAGAGGGCCCTCGCCCTCCACTTGGGGCTTAGGGTTTAGAGGGTTTACCGGGTTTACAGGGTTTAAGGGGTTTAAAGGGTTTATCGGTTTTTTGGGGTTTAGGGTTTACGGTTAAGAGTTCTTCCAAATTAGGGGTATCACAGGGGTTCCCATGAGAAGGATTAGGTCCACAATGGGCCATACCCAGAAAGGCCCCGTACACAGGCTTAGGGTACCACCAAAAACATGGACCATGGTTCAGAGAACTGACCACAAAACACTAAACCCTGGGCCGTTACAAACATCCGGGGGGTTCTAAAACAGGGGGTGCCCGCTTTTTTGGGCGGATTCTTGGAAATCTGTTTACCTGAAACCTTTATAAACTTTAAACTTTAAACCCTGAACCCTAAACCCTAAACCCTAAACCCTAAGCCCTAAGCCCCCTAAGCCCTAAGCCCTAAGCCCTAAAACCTAACCCTCACCCTAGAGCCTTATTTTTTGGGTGGGACTGCCAGAGAGCGAGCTGCTGCTCAGGAGCGCATGGCCAAGATCACCGAAGCCCTGGCTCTATTTGGGGGGGGGGGTGGGGGTAAACCCTAAACCCTAAACCCTAAACCCTAAACCCTAAACCCTAAACCCTAAACCCTAAACCCTAAACCCTAAACCCTAAACCTGGAGGGGGGTTTAGGGGTTTAGGGGTTTGGGGGCTTAGGGTTGAAGGGATGTTCCTGCTTGGGCTTTGGAGGAGCATCAAGATTCCCGTCCGCGTCTTGAGTCTTGTCGCCCTCTAGTGCCCCACAAGTGTGTGGCGAGCCACGCAGTCTCACGCCTTCCCTTGCATTCTGTGTCATAGTGCGGTGACATTTTTAAGGGTACTTAAACTCAAGAAGGAATATACATTTCAATTTTAAATACTAGAATATTAACTTTTTTAATATTATAAGATCATCCCAACCATGAACTTGCATTGCTTGCCGCCCGGCCATGTCCGGGTTGTTCGGCTTCTCTTCTTGTGCAGCTCACGATGGCTCGGAAGGATGCCTGCACTTCACCTCGGCGCAATGGACATGTCTCATAGTGCTTAAACTCAATAAGGAATATGCATTTAAATTTGTAATATTAGAATATCAGTTTTTAATATTCTAATATTGTCTCGTCGTCCCTCCTCCACGCAACCCCCCCCCCCCCCCCCCGCAAGGGCTGAACCCAAGACCCCCCAGCCTAGAGAAGCTCTTACTCGGCAACTGGAACAGTGTGTGAGAGAGAGTGATGCAGGAGTTGCGGGGGTTTAGGGCTTCGAGATCGTAGCAGTACCGGCAGGCATCTAAATTCCCCCAAACCCTAAACCCTAAATCTCTATGCCTAGTAGGAGTAGGGAGCCAAAATGTCTTAGGACACCGTCGACGCCTCCAAGATGGTGCTCCTGCAAGGTGCGCTTGGCTGGGACAGCCAACTTTACACACTTTACACCCCAAACCTTCTATACGAATAAATAAATAAACAAATAAATGCAGAAATATATAGATATAGATATAGATATAAATATAGATATAGCTCATAAATAATAGATAATAGATAATAGATAATAGATAATAGATAATGGATAATAGATAATAGATGATAGATGATAGATAATAGGTCATAGATAATAGATATAGATATAGTGTTATATAGACATTCTGCATTAGATGAAGATCAGCAGGTGTACGTATATGTGTATATACATACAGTATGCAATGAATTGTCCTGCTAATCCTTCAAATCCCAAGCCCTTGAACAAAACCAAAGCCAGTAAACTCGAAACCCTCGCAAGCCCCAGGACCCCATACTCTTCCCCCCAAAAAGCCCTAAGCCCTAAACCCTGAACCTTAAACCCACGCCCCAAGCCCTTAAGCCTCAAGCACCTTTTCGAAGCTCCTGGCCAGAAGCCCTAATCCCCTACCACCCTAAACACCCTAAACCCCCTAAACACCGTAAACCCCAAACCCTAAACCCTAAACTCTGAACCCCACGCGCCACATCGAATAAGTTTGGGATGCGCTTGGCAGCCGTAAAGCCCTGAACCCTAAACCCCAAACCCCAAACCCTAAGCCCTAAACCCCTAACCCTGAACCCTAAACCCCAAACCCCAAACCCTATAGCCCAAAACCCCAAACCCTAGAGCGAGGCTTTAACTGGGAGAGCTGGCGCTCTGGGGGAGGAGACTGGTACAGCGTTCCTTTGCCTGCACCGCAGTGTGGGGTTTAGGGCTTGGGGGGTTTAGGGGGGTTCGTGCTTTGGAGTGAGAGGTTCACCGGGTCGCTTGCGTGGCTGTAAGTATATATATATATATGTATATAGATAGATAGTTAGATAGATGTGTTATGGGTTTTATGTTGTTGTTTTTTTGAGGGGGGGGGCTTAGGATTGTTGAGGGGCTTCATGGTTTGGTTTAGTGTAGGCAGGCCCTTCGGGCCTTTGGGGATTTTCGGGCTTCTGGGGCTGACATGGTTCTTCCCCCAGGTGATTGGAAAAAGGGTGCAGATGCTGCACGATATCGGCTTTACCGACCTCTGGCTACCGCCATGCTCGCAGTCTGTCGCTCCTCAGGCCTGGCACATGAAGAGCAGCGGAATAGAACGACTTGCAGGGTAACCCTTGGGATGTTCCCCCCTTCTGCTTACAGCCCTACCCCTTATGATAATCCCCATTAAAGGCTGTTCGTATAAGGGGGAACATCTAAAGAGCAACCCTAAACCCTGGACCCCATTCTTAAGACGTCTTAAGAGTCCTTCTGTTGTTTAGCAGCGCGCAAGCAAGCAAGCCTCTACCCTTTCCGAACCCTAAGCCCTAAGCCCTAAACCCCAAACCCCAAACCCTAAACCCTAAACCCTAAACCCGAAGCCCGAGGGCTACCTGCCCTCGCAGCTCTTCAACCTGGATGGGTCCAAGTATGGCTCCCAAACCGCGCTGGAGACGTTGCTGGAGAAGTGCCACAAGCTGGGCATGCGCGTGCTGGCGGATATCGTCATCAACCACAGGCCCGGGGTTCTATCGGGCTTAGGGCTTAGGGTTTAGGGCTTAGGGTTTAGGGTTTAGGGTTTAGGGTTTAGGGTTTAGGGTTTTGGGTTTCGGGATCGGCTGCGGGTCCCCTCAGTATCTGATGAGTTCTTGGGTAGGCGAATTCGGGAAATCAGGCACCTCAGATATCCCAAATCCAACCCCTTTGGGTTTAGGGTTTAGGGGTTAGGGTTTAGGTTTTAGGGCTGCTGCTTCCCTACCAAAGAAACAGGCTGTACAGTACTCCATGTTCACAGTGCTGAAGCCGACCATTCCCAAACCCCAAACCAACTCCAAAACCCAAACCCCAAACTCTAAACCCCAAACCCCCAAACCCCAAACCCTAAACCCCAAACCCCAAACCCGATCAAACCCCAAACCCCAAACCCCAAACCCCAAACCCCAAAACCCCAAAACCCCAAAACCCCCAAACCCCAAACCCCAAACCCCAAACCCCAAACCCCAAACCCCAAAACCCCAAAACCCCAAAACCCCAAACCCCAAACCGAAACCCTAAACCGTAAACCCCAAACCCTAAACCCTAAACCCCAAACCCCAACCCCCAAACCCGAAAGCCTAAACCCTAAACATCTTGTGAAGCAGGTGCGGCGACAAGCAAGACAGCGCCGGCCGGTGGAACCAGTTCTCCAGTGGGATGACCACCAGGCCTTTGCTGATCTGTAGGGTAGGGTTTAGGGTTTAGGGTTTAGGGTTTAGGGTTTAGGGTTTAGGGTTTAGGGTTTAGGGTTTAGGGTTTACGGTTTACGGTTTAGGGTTTAGGGTTTAGGGTTGAGGGTTTAGGGTTTTGAGGGTTTAGGGTTCAGGGGTTTAGGGTTTAGGGTTTAGGGTTTAGGGTTTAGGGTGACTGCGAGTGCTTCATGGACACCGGGGTGTTCGCAGCAAGCTGCACAGCACTGCCACACGAGTTGCTTCCGAAGCAGGCGCAGCGTCGGCCCTGTAAAGCAGACCATGGAGCAGCCTTTGCCTTTGCCGGGTTTAGGGTTTAGGGTTTAGGGTTTAGGGTTTAGGGTTTAGGGTTTAGGGTTTAGGGGTTAGGGTTTGGGGTTTAGGGTTTAGGGTTTAGGGTGCACGGTTCGTTCCTAGACTGCTCTTGAACTACTCATCATGCTTGCTGGGCAGGGTAGGGCTGCGCCTTGTGTTTTTCTTTTTTGTTTTTGTTTTGTTGCAGGGTTTTTTGGCAGAGGCGAGGCATCTGAGAGGGAGCATCTGGGAAGATGCGCATCTGGAGACGGTCGGGCTGCTCTCTCTCTCTCTCTCTCTCTTTTTTTGGCTAAACGTTGCTGCCTTGACTTCTCTTTGTGTGTGGGCCCTCTAAACCCGAACCCCTAACCCCTAACCCCTAACCCCTAACCCCTAACCCCTAAACCCTAAGCCCTAAACCCTAAACCCTAAACCCTAAACCCTAAACCCCTCTTTGGCCAGGCCGAGCTTTGAAGGCGTTGGTGATTGGGGCGGCTGGGCCGTCACCCTCGGGGACCAGTACTCCGATGGGAGTGGCCCCCCACACTGCGCTAGTTTAGGGTTTAGGGTTTAGGGTTAGGGTTTAGGGTTTAGGGTTTAGGGTTTAGGGTTTAGGGTTTAGGGTTTAGGGTTTAGGGTTTAGGGTTTAGGGTTTAGGGTTTAGGGTTTAGGGTTTAGGGCATTGTGCCGTTGGTTCTGCTGAATGGTGAAGCATAGTACAGTGAGAAGTATAGTATAGTATAGTAGAGTAGAGTTTAGTACAGTATAGCATAGTACAGTATGGTATAGTATAGTCGTTTATAAAGAGAGTACAGTATTTTATGTTATATTGGGGCATGTTCCAGCTTGTCTGTACGGGTTCAGGGTTCAGTGCGTGAAGGGTGCTGCTGCGGAAGTTGTCCGCCACATTCAGGGCACAAGAGGAGCCACTGCGCCGATCTGCACACCTTGGACCCTGAACCCCCTACAGCCCCTAAAGCCCCGAAGCCTAAACCCTAGCCCTAAACCCTAAACCCTAAACCCTAAACCCTAAACCCTAAACCCTAAACCCTAAACCCTAGACCCTAGACCCTAAACCCTAAACCCTAAACCCTAAACCCCTAAACCCTAAACGCTAAACCCTAAACCCCATTGCCCGAGGAATGCATGCGCCCGGCAAGTCCGATGGAAAGTTCGATGCCGCGCCGGACATCGACCACAGGAACCCCAAGGCCTTTTGCAGCCGTTACCGGGTACCAGCTAGGGTTTAGGGTGTTTAGGGTTAAGGGTTTAGGGGCTTTAGTTGCTTCAGGGTTTCGGGTCTGTGAAGGGGTATAAGACGGGTATAGTCCCTATATACCTAAGTAGCCCACATCTGTACCTTTCGGGGGTAGTGTGCATATAAGGGTTTAGTTTTTGTTTTCGGGTTTAGGGTTAGGGTACCAGAATCTAACACAATATTGTGCGATATCAGCCGCCCAAGTGTGAGTGCCGTTCCTCTGCTTAGTTCCACCGCGGCTGTGTCGCCCTTTGACAGCGGCACCACGCAGCTGCGTATCGAGTGCTGCACTACAACATGCAAAACATGCTGTGCCATAAAATCACCCCTAAACCCTAAACCTTAAACCGTAAACCCTGTCTGTATGTATGTATGTATGTATGTATGCATGCATGCATGTATGTATGTATGTATGTATGTATGTGTGTGTGTGTGTCTGTATGTATGTATGTATGCATGCATGCATGCATGTATGTATGTATGTATGTATGTATGTATGTATGTATGTATGTATGTATATATCTATATGTATATATATATAAATTCTAGAAAACATTTACAGTTTCGTAAAGCCGCCCTATGCCAGGTGCAGGACAGCATCAACATTTGGCTGCGATGGCTGCGTCTGCAGGCCACGCTGCACCCCGCTGAGATTGTTGCCGCTGTGCCCAAGCCCCAAGCCCCAAACCCCAAACCCTAAACCCTAAACCCTGAACCCCGAACCCCGAACCCCGAACCCTGAACCTGAACCCTGAACCCAACACATTGGCCAACCTCCGCTGAAGAAAGGCACAACTCTGCATGCCCAAACCTTCCTTATTCTCCCCCCCCGCCCGTATTCCTGTCCTTATATACTCCATTCAAGACATATGGGCTATTAGGCCTTATAATCCCCATAATGAACCCTATAAAGGGCCTTTTCAGGGATTATAGGGTATATAGGCACCCAAGTTAATCCGGAAGCCGCCTTAAGACAGTTTAGACGTACCCTCCATCATCCTTGAGGCGCAATTGGAGGGATTATGCCTTCCCAAGAGATGGCCTTGGTTTAAAAACAGGTACCTCAAAGAATGAAGTACAAGGGGGGGATTTGAACCTTAAACCCTACACCCTACACCCTACACCCTACACCCTAAACCCTAAACCCTAAACCCTAAACCCTAAACCCTAAACCCGAAAACCCTAAAACCCTAAAACCCTAAACCCTAAACCCCATAGCAGGGGCATCTCTGCCAGGTGGGCTTTGATGGCTGGCGCTTCGACTTCGCCAAGGGCTACGGTGCTGAGTTTGTCGGCACCTAGGCTCGCAAGATCGTTGTTGTTCGGTGGTCTTCGTTCTCTGTACTTGTAATGGATGATAATAGGATATACATATGTATGTATATATATATATATTTACGCATTCTATATATATATATATGTATATATACCTACCTACACACACACACACACACATATATATATATATATAGAAACATATAGAAATATATAGAAATATATAGAAATATATAGAAATATATAGAAATATATAGAAATATATAGAAACGTATGCTATATATTCATACATAGATAGCTATAGTATGCTTATAGTAGAAGAGTAGAAACATAGAACCAACTATAGTATAGCATGGTAGGTGTTTCGCGCGCGCGCGCGCGCGGGTGTGTGTGTGTGTGTGTGTGTTTGTTTTTTGGGCCTGCAATGGAGTGTGCTAAGCCCTAGACCTAAGTGCCCTAAATCCTAAACCCTAAACACAAAACCCTAAATTCTAAACCCTAAAACCCTAAACCCTAACCCCTAAACCCTAAACCTTAAACCCTAAACCCTAAACCCTAAATCCTAAACCCTAAATCCTAAACCCTAAACCCTAAACCCTAAACCCTAAACCCCAACTCAGGGCAGTACTGCACCAAGAGCCACCCTGCTTGGGCCGTGGGCGAACTCTGGACCGACATGCACTACGACCACCATGGACTCTGCCCGCGCCTTACAACGGGTTTAGGGTTGAGGGATTAGGCCGATCATGGGTTTAGGGTTTAGGGTTTAGGGTTTAGGGCTAGGGTTTAGGGTTTAGGGTTTAGGGGCTTGGGGTGGGCGACACAGAGGACCTGAAGCACCTGAGGCTACAACCAGGACAAGCATCGGCAAGCGCTGGTGGACTGGGTGAACGCCACGGGCAAGAACCTTGGAAACGACATGAACCCTGAAGGGTTTATGGTTCATGTACCCTGAGTAGGAATTAGAGTTTTTGGGTCTAGGAACCCTGAAGGGTTTATGGTTCATGTACCCTTAGGTAGGAATTAGAGTTTTTGGGTCTCGGACCCCTTTGAAAGGGTTTATGGTTCCTATACCCTTAGTAGGAACTAGAGTATATAACAAACTATAAATAAATAATCAATTACTTGATAAATTATTATTAATGAATTAACTATTAATCAATTATTAAGTAGAAATTAATTATTATTTATATTTAATTAACCCCAAGGAAGTCCATGGCCTTCGACTTCACGACGAAGGGCATCCTCCAGGAAGCATGCAGGCTCACACAGTTCTGGAGGCCGAGGGCTGCAATGAATCTGCACGGGGTAGGCCCTTAAGGGACAGCTTTCCGACATTTCCCTGAATTTGGGTTTAAGAGGATTGCGTTTTTAGGAATATTCTTCAGAGGGTTTGAATTGGCCAGCCTAGATGCCATATTGAATTATATGATCATATGTTCGAACAAGTATATTGGTCCACCTTCATGTTCTTGCATTGTGGATGTCTTTGCAAGACGGGGGCTGGCAGACAGGTTTCCTAAATTAGGGGTACCTTCTTGGGGTCCTTTTCTTTATAAGGGGAATCCTACCTTTTTTTGGGGGGTCTATATTTTTGGGGCCTTCTTATGTTCGTCAACCCCCAGGTTGCGCGACTGCAACGGAAAGCCGCCGGGCTTGATCGGCTGGCTCCCGCACCTTAGCGCGCAACTGGGGTTTAGGGTTTGGGGGTTTAGGATGTTCCCCCTTGTGCTGACTGTCCTTACGAGGGATTATACTTGGGGGTACTAGAATCCCGATTAAGGACTGTTAGTATAATCCCAAGTTTGGGGATTTAGGATCGGTATGTGGGCGGATGCCACCTGACCTAGACATCTTAGTAGTCCTAGCCAAGGGGATACGCTGTGACCTTCATTGACAACCACGACACGGGCAGCACCCAGCGACACTGGCCCTTTCCTGATGACAAGGCCTGGCAGCCTCTTCGATTTTCTAGAGCGGAGTGAGCTTGTGCCGCACTGCCTGTGAGGTGATGATGGGCTACGCCTACATCCTGACCCACCCAGGACAGGGTCGACACATCGATTCGTGTTCGCGTCACTTCGGTGTTTGAACATCAGTTCCGGCTGAATCCCAATCCGCTCAAACATTTTCAGGAATCCCGTCAGTCTTCTGGGATCACATCATGGACTGGGGTGATGAGCATCGCAAGAAGGTTGCGGCCTTGCTCAAGGCCCGACGTGATTCAGGCCGGGCATGATGTGTGTGAGCATACCCTTCGTGTGGAAGTCCAGGAGCTGTCAGCTTCTGTATGCTGGATCTCGTAAGGCATCCCGGTGGATGCTCCGGTCAACATTCAGTGTGCCGACGATACCCTGTACTTGGCCGAGATCGGCCAGCCACCAGCGCTGCGGGTTGCGCTTGGCCCACGTCCTGCTGGGCAGCCAGACATGCCCCTTGGAAGAAAACAATAGCCTTCCTAGAGAGTAAGCCTTGGAAGCCCACACCTCCCCAGTTGCGCGTGCTCACGCACGCAGTGGCTTTGGGAGGAACTACTGGTCCCACGGCCCGAACGGCCACGGCTACCGCGTTTGGGTGAAGCGCACCGCTGCTCCACAGGCAACTGCAGCGCTCTTGTTGTGCAAGGCTTAACGGATAGTCAAGGGTTCGAGCTCTTGCACGTGCTGTGTTATGACGTGCTGTCAATCCTGCGCAGCCGTGTGGCACAACCTGTCATGCTGTGTGCTGTGTGAAGATTGAAAACAAAACTGTGCCGCGGGGCTCGCCGGCCATGGCATTTGCCGCAGCCATGCGGCGCTTGACGCTGGTGCATCGACGACGCGTGGCACGGAGCATCGCGGTGACGCTGGTGTTGATTGCGGCCTCCATCTTTCTACGACTTCGGCGCAGGCTCCGAGATGTGAGCACCTTTCCACGACTTCTCAAGATCCGTGCGCCGCTGGTCCATGCGGAAGGTACAGCGAGTACCGAAGTTGCGGCCACCGCCGCAAGTGAAGTGACAGCCAACAAGCAAGCCACCCCACCCGAAGTTGCGTGCGCCGTGCACAACTTCGCCATGTTCACCGTCGGTGAGAACGATTTCGTACCCTGGTGGTGAGTGGGGCAAAGTGGTCGGCGATGCAGAATCAGGTGTACCGGACTCTGTTGCCTTTGCTTAGCGCCTTAGAGAATATTGAACCATACCAAACGGCCTTTCGGCCTCTTCGAGTCACGAATTGCAAGTCACCATCAGATGGTGACCTGCAGTTTGCTGACTCGAAGTGCCGTTTGGGATGGTTCAAAATGCTCTAACCTGAGCAAGGGCAACGGAGTCAGGTACACCTGCGGCGAAATCGGACAACTTGTAGAATTCGTCGGAGATGGTGACCTCATCGTCCAGAAGAGCAACGGCAAGATGGCTTGCTGGTACCTCACCAACGCAGAGAGGCTGTTGAGTGCAGGGGATAGCGTCAAATACGTTTGTGGCGAGGTTGCGACAGTGGTCGGCTTCGATGCCGATGGCGACGTGATTGTCCTCAAGCAGGGTGGCCGCAAAGCAACTTGGTTTGCGCACAAGTGCGCGTGATGGTGAAGTGATCCTGTGCAAGGAGAGCCGCAATTAGTCATGCCCGCGGCCAACATGGCTGTCGGTGACAGCATGTGTTGGCAACCTTCGCCTAGATACAATTCTCCTGTAGGTTTCAGAAGAAGCTGAAGTGACTGGAATCGCACTGTCGTACCGAAGTTGCAAAATTGGAGCGCTCAGTTGCGATGGGAATCGCGAGGCTGCGTAATTCCCAACGCCAGTGTGCTGTTGTCATCTGTTGTCTACGAATGTTGTGTGGGTGACCTGGCACGTGCCCCACCTCAACCCTCAACCCTCAACCCTCAACCCTCAACCCTCAACCCTCAACTCTCAACCCTAAACCCTAAACCCTAAACCCTATATAAGCCCAACCGGCCCTAACGGCCACGGCTACCGTGTTTGGCTGCGCGCTATGTGATTACGTGCTGTCAACCCTGCGCAGCCGTGTGGCACAACCTGTCATGCTGTGTGAAGATTGAAAACAAAACCATGCTGCGGGGCTCGCCGGCCATGGCATTTGCCGCAGCTATGCGGCGCTTGGCGCTGGTGCATCGACGACGCGTGGCACGGAGCATCGTGGTCACGCTGGTGTTGATTGCGGCCTCCATCTTTCTACGACTTCGGCGCAGGCTCCGAGATGTGAGCACCTTGCCACGACTTCTCAAGATCCGTGCGCCGCTGGTCCATGCGGAAGGTACAGCGAGTACCGAAGTTGCGGCCACCGCCGCAAGTGAAGTGACAGCCAACAAGCAAGCCACCCCACCCGAAGTGGCGTGCGCCGTGCACAACTTCGCCATGTTCACCGTCGGTGAGAATGTTTCGTACCCTGGTGGTGAGCAGGGCAACGTGGTCGGCATCGATGAAGATGGAGACCTGCAGGTCGTGACTCGAAGCGGCCGAAAGGCCACGTGGTATGGAGCAAAATGCTCTAAGGCGCTGAGCAAGGGAAACAGAGTTAGGTACGACTGCGGCGAAGTCGCAGAACTTGTAGATTTCGACGGAGATGGTGACCTCATCGTCCAGAAGAGCAACGGCAAGATGGCTTGCTGGTACCTCACCAACGCAGAGAGGCTGTTGAGTGCAGGGGATAGCGTCAAATACGTTTGTGGCGAGGTTGCGACAGTGGTCGGCTTCGATGCCGATGGCGACGTGATTGTCCTCAAGCAGGGTGGCCGCCAAGCAACTTGGTTTGCGCACAAGTGCGCGTGATGGTGACAAGTGATCCTGTGCAAGGAGCCGCAATGAGTCATGCCCGCGGCCAACATGGCCGTAGGTGACAGCATGTGTTGGCAACCTTCGCCTAGTTACAATTCTCCTGTAGGTTTCAGAAGAAGCTGAAGCGACTGGAATCGCACTGTCGTACCGAAGTTGCAAAATTGGAGTGCTCAGTTGCGATGGGAATCGCGAGGCTGCGTAATTCCCAGCGCCAGTGTGCTGTTGTCATCTGTTGTCTACGAATGTTGTGTGGGTGACCTGGCACGTGCCCCACCTCAACCCTCAACCCTCAACCCTCAAACCCTCAACCCTCAACCCTCAACCCTCAACCCTCAACCCTCAACCCTCAACCCTCAACCCTCAACCCTCAACCCTCAATCCTCAATCCTCAACCCTCAACCCTCAACCCTCAACCCTCAACCCTCAACCCTCAACCCCCAACCCTCAACCCTCAACCCTCAACCCTCAACCCTCAACCCTTAACCCTAAACCTTAACCCCAACCGGCCCTAACGGCCACGGCTACCGTGTTTGGCTGCGCGCTGTGTGATTAGGTGCGGTCAACCCTGCGCAGCCGTGTGGCACAACCTGTCATGCTGTTTGAAGATTGATAACAAAACCATGCTGCGGGGCTCGGCGGCCATGGCATTTGCCGCAGCTATGCGGCGCTTGGCGCTGGTGCATCGACGACGAGTGGCACGGAGCATCGCGGTCACGCTGGTGTTGATTGCGGCCTCCATCTTTCTACGACTTCGGCGCAGGCTCCGAGATGTGAGCACCTTGCCACGACTTCTCAAGATCCGTGCGCCGCTGGTCCATGCGGAAGGTACAGCGAGTACCGAAGTTGCGGCCACCGCCGCAAGTGAAGTGACAGCCAACAAGCAAGCCACCCCACCCGAAGTTTCGTTCGCCGTGCACAACTTCGCCATGTTCACCATCGGTGAGAATGTTTCGTACCCTGGTGGTGAGCAGGGCAAAGTGGTCGGCATCGATGAAGATGGAGACCTGCAGGTCGTGACTCGAAGCGGCCGAAAGGCCACGTGGTATGGAGCAAAATGCTCTAAGGCGCTGAGCAAGGGAAACAGAGTTAGGTACGCCTGCGGCGAAGTCGCAGAACTTGTAGATTTCGACGGAGATGGTGACCTCATCGTCCAGAAGAGCAACAGCAAGATGGCTTGCTGGTACCTCACCAACGCAGAGAGGCTGTTGAGTGCAGGGGATAGCGTCAAATACGTTTGTGGCGAGGTTGCGACAGTGGTCGGCTTCGATGCCGATGGCGACGTGATTGTCCTCAAGCAGGGTGGCCGCCAAGCAACTTGGTTTGCGCACAAGTGCGCGTGATGGTGACAAGTGATCCTGTGCAAGGAGCCGCAATTAGTCATGCCCGCGGCCAACATGGCCGTAGGTGACAGCATGTGTTGGCAACCTTCGCCTAGTTACAATTCTCCTGTAGGTTTCAGAAGAAGCTGAAGCGACTGGAATCGCACTGTCGTACCGAAGTTGCAAAATTGGAGTGCTCAGTTGCGATGGGAATCGCGAGGCTGCGTAATTCCCAGCGCCAGTGTGCTGTTGTCATCTGTTGTCTACGAATGTTGTGTGGGTGACCTGGCACGTGCCCCACCTCAACCCTCAACCCTCAACCCTCAACCCTCAACCCTCAACCCTCATCCCTCAACCCTCAACCCTCAACCCTCAACCCTCAACCCTCAACCCTCAACCCTCAACCGTCAACCCCCAACCCCCAACCCTCAACCCTCAACCCGCAACCCTAAACCCTAAACCCTAAACCCTAAACCGCCCTAAACCCTAAACCCTAAACCCTAAACCCTAAACCCTAAACCCTAAACCCTAAACCCTAAACCCTAAACCCTAAACCCTAACCCCAACCGGCCCTAACGGCCACGGCTACCGTGCTGTCAACCCTGCGCAGCCGTGTGGCACAACCTGTCATGCTGTGTGAAGACTGAAAACAAAACCATGCTGCGGGGCTCGCCGGCCATGGCATTTGCCGCAGCTATGCGGCGCTTGGCGCTGGTGCATCGACGACGCGTGGCACGGAGCATCGCGGTCACGCTGGTGTTGATTGCGGCCTCCATCTTTCTACGACTTCGGCGCAGGCTCCGAGATGTGAGCACCTTGCCACGACTTCTCAAGATCCGTGCGCCGCTGGTCCATGCGGAAGGTACAGCGAGTACCGAAGTTGCGGCCACCGCCGCAAGTGAAGTGACAGCCAACAAGCAAGCCACCCCACCCGAAGTTGCGTGCGCCGTGCACAACTACGCCATGTTCACCATCGGTGAGAATGTTTCGTACCCTGGTGGTGAGCAGGGCAAAGTGGTCGGTATCAATGAAGATGGAGACCTGCAGGTCGTGACTGGAAGCGGCCGAAAGGCCACGTGGTATGGAGCAAAATGCTCTAAGGCGCTGAGCAAGGGAAACAGAGTTAGGTACGCCTGCGGCGAAGTCGCAGAACTTGTAGATTTCGACGGAGATGGTGACCTCATCGTCCAGAAGAGCAACGGCAAGATGGCATGCTGGTACCTCACCAACGCAGAGAGGCTGTTGAGTGCAGGGGATAGCGTCAAATACGTTTGTGGCGAGGTTGCGACAGTGGTCGGCTTCGATGCCGATGGCGACGTGATTGTCCTCAAGCAGGGTGGCCGCCAAGCAACTTGGTTTGCGCACAAGTGCGCGTGATGGTGAAGTGATCCTGTGCAAGGTAAGCCGCAATTAGGCATGTCCGCGGCCCGCGGCCAACATGGCCGTAGGTGACAGCATGTGTTGGCAACCTTCGCCTAGATACAATTCTCCTGTGGGTTTCAGAAGAAGCTGAAGTGACTGGAATCGCACTGTCGTACCGAAGTTGCAAAATTGGAGCGCTCAGTTGCGATGGGAATCGCGAGGCTGCGTAATTCCCAGCGCCAGTGTGCTGTTGACTACGAATGTTGCGTAGGTGCCCTGGCACGTGCCCCACCTCACTCTCAACTCTCAACTCTCAACCCTCAACCCTCAACCCTCAACCCTCAACCCTCAACCCTCAACCCTCAACCCTCAACCCTCAACCCTCAACCCTCAACCCTCAACCTTCAACCCTCAACCCTCAACCCTCAACCCTCAACCCTCAACCCTCAACCCTCAACCCTCAACCCTCAACCCTCAACCCTCAACCCTCAACCCTCAACCCTCAACCCTCAACCCTCAAACCTCAACCCTCAACCCTCAACCCTCAACCCTCAACCCTCAACCCTCAACCCTCAACCCTCAACCCTCAACCCTCAACCCTCAACCCTCAACCCTCAACTCCAACCCTAAACTCCAACCTGTCAGGTCTACACCTCTTTGGGACCCACGCCAGAGGCCGAACCCAGACGGATCCTACCATGTTACAGAAAGCTCCATAGAAGGGTTTAGGGTTAGGGTTTACGGGGTTTAGGGTTTAGGGTTTAGGATTTTAGGGTTTTAGGGTTTTAGGGTTTTAGGGTTTTGGATTTTCGAGGTTTAGGGTTTGGGGGCTTTTGAGTTTAGGGTAGTTCAGGTGTAGGAGTTTCGGGTTTTCGTGTTTAGGGTTTAGGGGTTAAGGGTTTCGGGGGTTTGGGGTTCGGGGTTTGGGGAGTTAAGGGTTTAGGGTGAAAGGGTTTAGGGTTATGGGTTTAGGGTTTCGGGGTATAGGGCAGTTCGAGACGGGCTTTTGCGAGTAAAAAAGGCGTATCCAGGGCATCAGAAGCCTAACGCACGCGCATGGATTGCATGACGGTGTTTGTTTCGCGCAGGCAGAATGTTTCACTCCAAGCCCTGAGCCACAGGCCCAGTAAAACGGGTGGACACCACGATTGGCTGCACCTCAAGGAATGCACCTAGACGGCATGCCAACATTGTATGCACTCTTTCATGAAGTCCCATACTCTGAACCTGCTATTTGTTGCATCATGTAACAGGTTTACATTCACTAAACATGACTAATCCCCTGAAGCCCAAAACCGAAGTAAGCCCTAAACCCTAGACCCCAAACCCTAAACCCCAAACCCTCAACCCTTAAACCCTAAACCCTAAGCCTAAACCGTAAACCCTAAACCCTTAACCCGAAACCCAGCAAAGCCGGAGACACTGGCGAGGCCACCCCCCTGGCGTCGCGCGCGAACTCCCCTCGCTCCAAGAAGGGCGAGGCATGGGTTGAGGGCTTAGGGTTTAGGTTTAGGGTTGAGGGTTTGGGGTTTACTAGCGGGTTTTCGCTTGGCTGGGGGGGGGGGGTTAGGCAGGGGTTTAGGAGTTTGAGGCCGTTGGGCTCTGGGAAAATTTAGGAAGTTGATTCACCAGCCCCTTCTTCTCATGATGGCATGGGCGTGCCTTTTGGCCTTTTGCGCCCTCGGACGGTTTGCACTTCTGCGGAAGCAGCCAGTGACGTCGTCCAGGTCGTGGTCGTAAGTAAGCAAACCTACACCCCTCAAGCCCTCTGTCTCCTGATCATTTTTGGGAGTTCCTGCACCCTAAGCCCTACAGAAGACCCCTTCCCCCGAACCCGAAACCCTGAACCCTAAACAAAATCCCAGTGCCAGGAGGGACTCCGGGTCGGCACAGAAGCGCTGACGGCGGAGACCCTGCAACTTGGACCGCTTTGGGGGTTTGTTCAGGGGCTTCAAGGGATCTTTTTTTTTTTTTTGTTTGTGTGTGTGTGTGTGTCTCTGTGTGTGTGTGTGTGTCTCTGTGTGTGTGTGTGTGTGTGTCTCTCTGTGTGTGTGTGTGTGTCTCTGTGTGTGTGTGTGTGTGTCTCTGTGTGTGTGTGTGTGTGTGTGTGTGTGTGTGTGTTTGTTTGTTTGGGGCTTACGAAGGGCATCAAGGGTTCCAAGGGATTTTTGGGTTTCAAGGGCTTTTTTTGAGGGTTTTTCTCAAGGGTTTCTGGGGTTTAGGGTTTGGGAATGGCTTAAGGGTGTTCAGCCGCTTGTATTTCAGTTGTTCCCTTTGCAGAAACAGTACGGCAGGGGCCTTTTTTTCGGTCTTCAGGAAGCCCCCGGGTTCAACAGGGTTTCGGGCACGAGTGGTACGAGCAGTATGCTGTTGACATTCGGTAGTCTTGATGCGCTGCTCTGAGCGTCGGGCCGAGGAAGCTGATGGAACCCATTCAGCTCCGCAAGCTTCGCGATCGCCTGCAGGCCAGGTCGGCTAAGATGGTTCAGGGTTTAGGTGACTAGAGGGCTCCTAACTCCCCCATGAACCCCCCCTCCCCTTAAGAACCCTATAAGGTCATGATTCCGTGTCGCACCCCCCCTGAGGAGCCATGTTTGCTGTCGTGTCCGCACGCCCCAACTCGACTCCCTTGCCAATGTGAAACATACCTGCGATGTGAGATCACAGGCTGTTTTTTATCAACACACCCACACTCCGCCTTGGCAGCCCAGCTCTCGCTCTTTTGACAGAGATAGGGTTCTTAAGGGAGGAGGGTTCTTGGGGGGTAGGTACCTAGGGAACCTTACAGGGAAGCTGAGAGCCTTCTTCGGGAGTCGCGGGGAGCATTAGGGAACCTTGGGCCACATACCTCCCTTAAACCCTAAACCCTAAACCCTACAAACCCTAGACCCTAAACCCTAGACCCTAAACCCTAAACCCTAAACCCTAAACCCTAAACCCTACAAACCCTAGACCCTAAACCCTAAACCCTAAACCCATCCCTTCAGAGCCCTATTTGAGATGGATGAAATGAGGCCATGCTTCATGCCACGGAGACAGCCCTGGAGATGAAAAGGCCCTGGGATCCGATGTCTGGTCTGCTACGTGGGGGGTTTAGGGTTTAGGGTTTAGGGCTAGTCTGGTTTCGGGGGACAATTTCAAGGGAGAGCTTCTCTGTGTTGTGAGACATGGCTTCGGCTTGCACTCTGAGTTGGCAGCGAAGCTGTGGCACCACAGCCAGCCCTGTGCCGTAGATGAGAGTGTGCGGGACTCCCTCGGCTAGCACAGGGTCATGCGCCTTTGGAGGCGATGATCTCAGCTCAAGAATCTCGGAATCGGTGGACAGCTCTGCAGATAGAGGAACTCGACCAGTGTCCATGCCTCAGAAATCTTGTGAAGCATCTCTTGCCCTTCGTTGCCCCTGGCCAGCTGCATATGCGGGTTTGTGCACGCAGTTGCAGTCATGGTAAGGTTAACCTGAAGTGCGCTGCACTACTCTTTTTCGACGATGCAGTGTACAGCCCATGCAAATCAGCGTTAGCTAGCTTTTGAAGCCCTTCCTCTAGCCGTCAGTGGCCATTGTTTCGCTACGTGTTTCTCATCGGGATGGCTGTGAAAGACACGGTCTATCCTGCCCTCAACGGCACAGAGGGCTGCACCCAACGAGTCGCCCCAGCGCTGTCTGTGAGAATCTCACAGAAACGGAACTGCTCCTAGGAACCCGAGAGAAGGCTTGAACACACCCGATGTGTAGGTTTCCGTCAAATTTCCTCCTTCTTTGGGATAAATCCTACAGCAAATGTCTGCCACGGTGGCTCTGAGAAGTTCCGGCCTCGCGCTCCGGCCAAGGTGCATGGCCCACTTTTTAAAGCTGATCTGCGCAGGGGCCTGTTGCCGAACACTGGCATAAAAGCAATGCTAAGAGAAACACTAAGCTAACACTGGTAACAACAAAAAAAGGAAATTCCGGCTATTCTGGGCCACTTTCTCCCAACGTGGGGAAAAGTCAGCTGCTGGCCCCGGCAGCAAAGACGTCAAAGATGACTTCATCGACAGGCAGATGATGTAGCCGAAAGGCTTGTAGGAGTCGCCACACTTCGCATCTTCGGAGTGCAAACAAAAGGCGGCGGGCGTTGTGGACACAGACTCTTGCTTTGCTAGTGCCCATGGCTGCTTTGTAGTCACGGAAGATGAGAGGCACCACCGCAAGTGCTGCGATGGTCGGGCCAGCATCAGCATTCAGTAGGCACGCGGATTACCTGCCAATTGGCTGCCCCCCCGCACCGCGGCTCAGCAGTTCGGGTTCATGAAAAAGGGTATACGGGGTCATGCCCCGCATCTTGCAACACTTCCTCCTTGATGGCATCCCTGGAGCTCAACTAGATGGATGACAGAACCACCAAGGGCTAGGTCCTGATAGGTTGCAGAGAGCTCCCGAAACCCTAAACCACTAAACCCTATAAACCCTAAACCCTACACCCTTTGCAGAAAGAGGAACAAGGAGGCTTTTTTCGGCTTCAGGCCAAAAAGTCCTTCCAGGGATTCGGGGAATAGGCTTAGTTTCAGGGGCGCGTCTTGCTTCAGCGCGCTGTGGCGCTGGTGTCAGGCCATGGTTTAGGGTTTAGGGTTTAGGGTTTAGGGTTTAGGGTTTAGGGTTGAGGGTTCTCAACTCACATGTTGTTGTTATCCTACATGCAGGTGCGGTGATTGCAGAAGTGCAGCTTTGTAGAGAGCGATGCACATCGGGCATGTCGCAGCGAGCTCCAGCTTGCAGAGCCCAGAACCCGAGTCGAACATTCCCACCCCTGAAAAGCCCTGCCCTGCACCTAGAGAGCATGCATCACTGTCTCACGCCGTCGGTCGGGGGTATTGATTATTTTGCCGGCTTTTCGCAGTGCCTTTGGTGTTCGGGGTCAAGTTGGTGGATGTGGTGTTGCAGCGTGCGCTGCGTGGTTCGGCACACATGTTGGGGGTCGAAATCGCGCTCTCGTGTAGGTCCCGCTAGGTCCCGTTTAGGTCAGTGAACCATCGTCGCATTGCGAACACAAAGATCGTTGCGTCGTCGCAGGTGCCAAATCATGCAGTCTCGGTCCCAATCGAGCTCTCGCCGCAATCCCATGTGTTTGGGTGTGCTTGAACCGCTCGGTGCCGTCGGCGCCACGCCTCATGCTCGTTACCGTTTTTCGTAGTAGCAGGAATCCGATTCTCATTGTGGTGATAGGCATGATTGCGATGAGAGTGATCAGCTAGAAGGTGATGATAAGGATGATGATGAAGGAACCCTAACCCCCCTAAATCCCAAAGGCCCTTATAGCTACCCCTTATCATCGAACCCCAAAATGGTCCCTTGGAAGGGTTTTCCAAGCTCTTAAGCCTCTAAACCTTTAACCCCAAACCCCCTAAAGTGAGCCGCTCGGGAGGAGCTACTGGTCCCACACGGCTACTGTGTCTGGGTGCAGCGCGCACCGCTGCTTCGCAGGCGCAAGCAGCAGCAGAGCTTTCTTTTATAGGCATGAAGACGAGACTGAATGCAGTGGACCGAAGTCGAATCCTTGAAAAGGTGTTTTGATCTCATGCCTTGCATAGCCGCGGGGCACAAGCTGCCACGCTGCGTGAAGAGACTGGATAAACAAAAAGTATGCCGCGGGGCTCGCCAGCCATGGCAGTTGCTGCGGCTGTGCAGCGCCTGGCATTGCTGGACCGCCGCCGGGTAGCACGTAGCATCGCGGCCACGCTGCTGTTGATTGCCGCTTCCATCTTTCTTCGACTTCGTCGCAGGCTCCGAGGCGTGAACAATTTGCCGCGGCTTCTCAAGATCCGTGGGCCGCCAGTCCATGTGGACGGTACAGCGAGTACCGGAGATGCGGCCAGCGCAGGTGAAGTGGCAGCCAGGAAGGAGGCTGCCCCGCCCGAGGTGACCTGCGCCGTGCACAATTTCGCCATGTTCAACCTGGGCGAGAACGTTTCGTACCCCGATGGTGAGCAGGGCGAAGTGGTGGGCATCGATGCAGACGGCGACCTGCAGGTCGTGACCCGAAATGGTCGAAAGGCCACGTGGTATGGCTCGAGATGCTGTAAGGCACTGAGCAAAGGGAACAGAGTCCGTTATGCCTGCGGCGAAGTCGCGGAGCTTATGGGTTTTGATGGAGATGGCGACCTCATTGTCCAGAAGAGCGACGGCAAGGTGGCTTGGTGGTACCTCGCTCGCACCGAGAGGCTGTTGAGCGTAGGGGATCGCGTGACATACGTTTGTGGTGAAGTGGCGAGCGTGGTCGGCTTCGATGCCGATGGCGACGTGATTGTCCTCAAGCAGAATGGCTGCCAAGCAACCTGGTTTGCGCACAAGTGCACGTAAGAGTCACGAGCGATCCTGATCCTGCGCAAGGAAAGCTGCAATTAATGCAATGAGTCTTGCCTGCGGCCAACATGGCTGTAGGTGACGACATGTCATGACAACCGTCGCCTGGTTACAAATTCTCCTGCATATTTCCAAAAAACTGCACTGACTGTAATCGCTTGGCTCCTGTCCAACGTCGACACTTCCGTACCGGAGCAAAAAGTTGGAGTGCTCAGTGCTCATTTGTCATGGGATCGCCAGGCTGTACTTCCCAGTGTCCGTGTGCTGTCTCGACGATTTTTGTGAAGGTGTCCTGGAGCGTGCCCCATCTACACACTGGGAATTCATAAGCCCAAATTCCTAACCCAAAACCCCTGTCAGGTCTATGCACCTCCTTGGGATCCAGGCCAGAGGCCGTTTGGAGTTTAGGGTGTAGGGTTTAGGGGGTTTAGGGTTAGGGGGTTACATAGGGTTTAGGGGTTTTAGGGGTTTCGGGTTTCGGGTTTCGGGTTCCGGGTTCGGGGGTCTAGGGGTTTAGGGGTTTAGGGCTGAGGGGTTTAGGAGTTTCCGATTGTAGGGTTCAGGGGATTAGGGTTTTGGAGTGCCGTGGTTTAGGGTTTGGGGTTAGGGGTTTAGGGTTTAGGGTTTGGGAGTTTCGGGCTTTAGGGTTTGGGGGTTTGTTTTGGGGTTGAGGGGTGTAGGGTGTAGGGGTTTGGGTTTAGGGGTTGAAGGGTGTAGGGTTTCGCGGTTTGGGGGTTAAGGGTTGAAGGGTTTAGGGGTTTAGGATTAAAGGCTTTAGGGTTAGGGGTTTGGGGTTCGGGGTTTCGGGCAGTTCTAGACAGGTTCTTGTGGGTACAGGTTTTGTGGGCAAAATGGCGTATACAACGCCTCAGAAACATAACGCCCATGCATGGATTGCATGACGGTTTTCTTTCGCGCAGGCCGCATTTCTCACTGCCCCGCCCTGATCCGTAGGCCCCACAAAATGGGTGCACTCCACATTTGGCTGACCTCTAGGAATGCACCTGGATGCTTGCCAGCACTGTATGCACCCTTCGTGAAGTCTCATACTCTGAGCCCACCGATTTTGTTGCACTATGTACTAGGTTTACATGCACTCCTTTAGTATTCACGGGATTGGACAGCATTCTTGTACAATCTGGCGCTCAACCCGCCAATGCGCACTGGGTTTCAGGACCGATGACAACAAAGAGCCTCTCACTTTGCCTGACAAGGCTGACGTAGTGCTGAAAGTATCTGAGGGTCTTTTTGCCGCACTGAAGATGTCGGGGGCTGCCGGTTGAAGCGCCTCCTTTGATGTCAGCCGGCATGCCGCATGCCTGATTCATGCCTGATTCTGCCGACGTTGAGCAGAGGTCGCGACTGAATTGTCTGTGGGCACGATTTGGCCAAAGGCCTCAGCTTCTCTTGCTCCAGGTGGGATGCTTTACAGCTCTGGCAGCCCTGTCCGGGTCTCAGTGTTTCCTTTTGAACAGGGCGGTTGGGAAGGTGTTGGTTTGTAGGCTCTCTTTTTGGGGCAGTTTCCGCTAGGTCCGCGACTTCTTAGCCTCGCGCTCATTCCGTGGTCCTAGTCATGCGCGGAATGCACAACTATGCTTAAAGTGCTCTCTATGCTTGGGGATGCAAGGTCCTTATGAAAGGCACCTGGAGTAGACCCCAAAACTCCCGCGCAGCACCCCCAGAAAGCCCCTGTGCGCTGAAAGCCCGCAAGGCCCTGAACCTCTGAATGATACATGTTACCATCGAATCCCGACACCCAGTAATACTCCCCAAAATGAGCCGCTCGGGAGGAACTACTGGTCCTACGGCCCGTGCCACGGCTACTGCGCCTGGGTGAAGCGCGCTGCTGCTCCGCAGGCGAAAGCAGCTGCAGAGCTCTCCTTCGATCGGCGCTAGTCGAGACCAAAGTCAGTGGAGTGACTGTTTTAGGCTTGACGGCCAAAAGTCGAATCCTTGAAGTTAGTAAAGGCATTTTGACCTCTTGCATGCCTTGCATAGCCGCGGGGCACAAGCTGTCACGCTGCGTGAAAAGATTGGGTGAAATCAAAAGTATGCCGCGGGGCTCGCCAGCCATGGCAGTTGCTGCGGCTATGCACCGCCTGGCATTGCTGGACCGCCGCCGACTAGCACGGAGCATCGCGGCCACGCTGCTGTTGATTGCGGCTTCCATCTTTCTTCGACTTCGTCGCAGGCTCCGAGGCGTGAACAGCTTGCCGCGGCTTCTCAAGATCCGTGGGCCGCCAGTCCATGTGGACGGTACAGCGAGTACCGGAGATGCGGCCAGCGCAGGTGAAGTGGCAGCCAGGAAGGAAGCCACCCCACCCGAAGTTACCTCCGCTGTGCAAAGCTTCGCCGTCTTCAACGTGGGCGAGAACGTCTTCTACCCCGATGGTGAGCAGGGCAAAGTGGTTGCTATCGATGAAGAGGGCGACCTGCAGGTCGTGACCCGAAGTGGTCGACAGGCCACGTGGTATGGCTCGAGATGCTCTAAGGCACTGAGCAAAGGGAACAGAGTCAGGTACGCCTGCGGCGAAGTCGCGGAGCTTGTGGATTTGGATGCAGATGGCGACCTCATTGTCCAGAAGAGCGACGGCAAGGTGGCTTGCTGGTACCTCGCTCGCGCCGAGAGGCTGTTGAGCGTAGGGGATCCCGTGACATACGTTTGTGGCGAAGTGGCGAGCGTGGTCGGCTTCGATGCCGATGGCGACGTGATTGTCCTCAAGCAGGATGGCCGCCAAGCAACCTGGTTTGCGCACAAGTGCGCGTGAGAGTCACGAGCGATCCTGATCCTGCGCAAGGACAGCCGCAATTAGTCACGCCCGCGGCCAACATGGCTGTAGGGTGACAGCATGTCAGGGCAACCGTCGCCTAGTTACAAATTCTCCTGCATATTTCGAAGAAACTGCACTGACTGAAATCGCTTGACTTCTGTCTAACGTTGACACGTCCGTACCGGAGCAAAAAAAACTGGAGTTCTCAGTGCTCATGTGTCATGGGATCGTCAGGCTGCGTGTTTCCCAGTGTCAGTGTGTTGTCTCTACGAGAATTTTGTAAAGGTGCCCTGGAGCGTGCCCCATCTACACACTGGGGATTCATAGGGGAAGGGGAAGGGCATTTTTGCCAACAGCCCTAAAAACCCTAAACCCTAAACCCGGTCAGGTCTACACCTCCTTGGGACCCACGCCAGAGGCCGTTTGGAGTTTAGGGTGTATATAGGGTTTAGGGTTTAGGGGGTTTAGGGTTTAGGGGGTTACATAGAGTTTAGGGGTTTAGGGTTTAGGGGTTTCTTCGGGTTTCGGGTTTGGGGGTGTAGATTAGGTTTGGAGCGTCGTGGTTTAGGGTTGGGTTTTAGGGTTTAGGGTTTAGGAGTTTCGGGCTTTAGGGTTTAGGGGTCCAGGGTTGAGGGGTTTAGGGGTTTAGGGTTTGGGGGTGAGGGGTGTAGGGTTTCGCGTTAGGGGTTAGGGTTAAAGGTTTTAGGGTTCGTGGTTTCGGGCAGTTCTAGACAGGTTTTTGTGGGTACAGGTTTTGTGAATAGACTGGCATATACAGCGCATCAGAAACATAATGCCCATGCATGGATTGCATGACGGTTTTTGGTTTAAGTCTCGGACAGGCCGAATTTCTCACTGCCACGCCCTGATCCGTAGGCACGGCAAAAAGGGTGGACACCACAAAATGGGCTGACTGGAATGCACCTCGATGGCTTTGCCAGCATTTCATGAAGTCCCATACTCTGAGCCCGCCGATTTTGTTGCACTATGTCACTATGTCGTTAGCCTTGCATGCACTCCCTTTACTATTCACCAGATTAGACAACATTCCTGTGCAATCTGGCGCTGAACCCGCCAATGCGCCGTGGCTTTCCAGGACCTCCCGATGACGGCAAGGAGCCTCTCACTTTGCCTGACAAGGCTGGCGGTTGAATGTCTTGTTGCCTCGCTGAAGATGCCGGGGATGGTTGGAGCGAGCTGGGCCTCCTTTGTTGTCAGCTTGAGCAGATGTCGCGACTGCATCGGCTTTCGGCATTCTTTGGCCAAAGGGCTCCGCTTCTCTTGCTCCAGGTGGGATGCTTTACAGCTGTGGCAGCGGTGTCCGGGTCTCAGGGTTGGGAAGGTGTTGCGTTGTCGGCTCTCCTTTTCTGGGGCTTAGGCACCTATGGCTTTGAATGAGATGGGAAGTCGCTTCACCATGCCCTTTCAGCATAGGTGTTCGCTTTCGATCCTACCCCTCCTTTCCCATCCCTAAAGCTGTGTCATCCCGTGTCCTGAGCGGCCTGAACCTAGAAAGTATGCAGCAGTCACTCACGTGTGGGTGCTGCAGCGCTCGACGACGTGCTCTCGCACAGTTTCCGCTATGCGTAGCCGCCTGGCACAAGCTGTCGTGCTGGACCGCCGCCGAGTAGCACGGAGCATCGTGGCCACGCTGCTATTGATTGCAGCTTCCATCTTTCTTCGACGCCGGCGCCGGCTCCGAGGCAGTCCACGTGGACGGCAAGTACCGGAGATGCGGCCGCCAGCGCATGTGAAGTGGCGGCCAGGAAGGAAGCCGCCCCGCCCGAAGTGATGTTCGCCGTGCACAATTTCGACGGGCGAAATTGTGCACTGCGAACATCACTTCAACGTAGGCGAGAACGTTTCGTACCCCGATGGTGAGCAGGACACCAAATACCGTGGTCGGTATCGAAGCAGACGGCGACCTGCAAGCCGTGACCCGAAGGGGTCGAAAGGTCCTTTGGCATTTTTCGAGATGTTCTAAGGCACTGAGCAAGGGCAACAGAGTCGGGTACACCTGCGGCGAAGTCGCAGAACTTCTGGATTTCGATGCAGAAGGCGAACTCATTGCCCAGAAGAGCGATGGCAAGGTTGCTGGTACCTGGCTCACGCAGGCTGTTGAGTGTAGGGGATCGTGTGAAATACGTTTGTGGTGAAGTAGCGAGCGTGGTCGGCTTCGATGCCGATGGCGACGTGATTGTCCTCAAGCAGGATGGCCGCCGAGCAACCTGGTTTGCGCACTGCGCACAAGTGCGCGTGATCCTGTGCAAAGAATGCTGCAATTAGTCATGCCTGCGGTCAACATGGCTGTAGGTGACAGCATGTCATGACAACCGTCGCCTATGTTGACACTTCCGTACCGGAGCAAAAAATTGGAGTTCTCAGTGCTCAGGTGTTCTGGGATCGCCAGGCTGCGTAATTCCCAGTGCTAGTGTGTTGTCTCTACCAATTTTGTGAAGGTGCCCCGGCGCCAGTCAACCGCCAGATAATGGGCATTCACGGGGCGCGGGGGAAAGTTTTGTTACAATCTTAAGCCCTAAACCCTGAACCTTAAACCCCTGTCAGGTCTACACCTCTCTGGGACTCACGCCAGCCACAAACTTGCAATTAACGTCACTGCGGTTTGGGTGGCGGCAAGTCGCAATTGCTAGTCATACCGGTCGACCTATGTGATCTCCCACAACCCCCTGTCCACCCGACCCCCGCCCTTAGGTGAGTCAATTGAGTCCCAAACCTGGAACCCTGCAGCCTAAGCGCAAAAACACAGTTAAATCCCTGAAGCCCAAAACGCCCCACTTCAGCAACAACTCCAATAGACCGCAGGCCACGTCCTGGCGTTTCACGTGAACTTCCGCGGTGCAAGATGGGCGAGGCATGGAACAAGGGTTCATGGGGTTTGTGGGGTTTTAAGGGTTTGTAGGGTTTCTGGGGTTTAGGGTTTATGGGTTTATCGGGTTTATAGGGTCTATGGCGTTTGTGGGGTTCAGAGGGTTTATAGGGCTTATGGGGCGTATAAGGCTGATGGGTTGATAGGGGTTTGGGTAGGGTTGATAGGCTGCAAAGGATTTGTAGGGTTTGTGGGGTTTATAGGGTTTATAGGGGTTCAAGGTTTTCTTGGGTTTCTGGCGTTTGTAGGGTTTATCGGGTTTACAGGGTTTATAGGGTTTATAGGGTTTATAGGGTTTTTGGGGTTTATAGGGTTTATAGGGTTTATAGGGTTTATAGGGTTTATAGGGTTATAGGGTTTATAGGGTTTATAGGGCTTATAGGGTTTATAGGATTTATGGGGTTTATACGGTTTGAAAAAGTTTATGGGGTTGTAGGGTTTATGTCAAAGTCTAAGGTCTTCAGAGGTTTGGGTGAGTTGAGGGCGCAGGCTTTCGGTTTTTTTTCCAGGATGCCCTGTGGAAGATGGAGGTGGGCGAGAACACAAATCAACACCGGGAGGATTCGGGTCGGGGTATGCGTCTCCAGCAGTCTGCTCTGCAGGCGAAAGCAGCTGCAGAGCTCTCTTTTGCTCTAGGCGCTAGTCGAGACGAAAGGCACTTGAGTGACTGTGTTAGGGTTGACGTCCCTAAGTCGAATCCTTGAAAAAGGCATTTTGACCTCTTGCATGCCTTGCATAGCCGCGGGGCACAAGCTGTCACGCTGGGTTAAGAGACTGGATAAACAAAAAGTATGCCGCGGGGCTCGCCAGCCATGGCAGTTGCTGCGGCTGTGCACCGCCTGGCATTCCCGGACCGCCGCCGGGTAGCACGGAGCATCTTCGCCACGCTGCTGTTGATTGCCGCTTCCATCTTTCTTCGACTTCGTCGCAGGCTCCGAGGCGTGAACAGCTTGCCGCGGCTTCTCAAGATCCGTGGGCTGCCAGTCCATGTGGACGGTACAGCGAGTACCGGAGATGCGGCCAGCGCAGGTGAAGTGGCAGCCAGGAAGGAAGCCGCCTCGCCCGAGGTGACCTGCGCCGTGCACAATTTCGCCGTGTTCAACCTGGGCGAGAACGTTTCGTACCCCGATGGTGAGCAGGGCGAAGTGGTGGGCATCGATGCCGACGGCGACCTGCAGGTCGTGACCCGAAATGGTCGAAAGGCTACGTGGTATGGCTCGAGATGCTCTAAGGCACTGAGCAAAGGCAACAGGGTGAGGTACGCCTGCGGCGAAGTCGCAGAGCTTATGGATTTTGACGGAGATGGCGACCTCATTGTCCAGAAGAGCGACGGCAAGGTGGCTTGCTGGTACCTCGCTCGCACCGAGAGGCTGTTGAGCGTAGGGGATCGCGTGACATACGTTTGTGGCGAAGTGGCGAGCGTGGTCGGCTTCGATGCTGATGGCGACGTGATTGTCCTCAAGCAGAATGGCTGCCAAGCAACCTGGTTGGCGCACAAGTGCACGTGAGAGTCACGAGCGAGCCTGATCCTGCGCAAGGAAAGCTGCAATTAATGCAATTAGTCTTGCCTGCGGCCAACATGGCTGTAGGTGACAGCATGTCAGGGCAACCGTCGCCAATTTTTAAATTCTCCTGCATATTTCCAAGAAACTGCACTGACTGAAATCGCTTGACTCCTGTCCAACGTTGACACTTCCGTACCGGAGCAAAAAATAGAGTTCTCAATGCTTAGCTGCCAGGGGGTCGCCAGGCTGCCAGTGTGTTGTCTCTACGAATGTTGTGAAAGTGTCCTGGAGCGTGCCCCATCTACACACTGGGAATTCATGGGGGAAGGGGGGAGGGCCTTTTTGCAAAACCCAAAACCCCTGTCAGGTCTACACCTCCTTGGGACCCACGCCAGAGGCCGTTTGGAGTTTAGGGTGTATATAGGGTTTAGGGATTAGGGGGTTTAGGGTTTAGGGTTTAGGGGTTTAGGGTTAAAGGGTTTAGGGGTTTCGGGTTTCGGGTTTGCGATTGTAGGGCTTAGGGGATGAGGGTTTTGGAGTGCCGTGGTTTAGGGTTTTGGGTTAGGGGTTTAGGGTTTAGGGTTTGGGAGTTTCGGGCTTTAGGGTTTGGGGGGTTTGTTTTGGGGTTGAGGGGTGTAGGGTGTAGGGGTTTGGGGTTTAGGGGTTGAAGGGTGTAGGGTTTCGCGGTTTGGGGGTTAAGGGTTGAAGGGTTTAGGGGTTTAGGATTAAAGGCTTTAGGGTTAGGGGTTTGGGGTTCGGGGTTTCGGGCAGTTCTAGACAGGTTCTTGTGGGTACAGGTTTTGTGGGCAAAATGGCGTATACAACGCCTCAGAAACATAATGCCCATGCATGGATTGCGTGACGGTTTTCGGTTTCGCGCAGGCCGCATTTCTCACTGCCCCGCCCTGATCCGTAGGCCCCACAAAATGGGTGCACTCCACAATTGGCTGACCTCTAGGAATGCACCTAGATGCTTTGCCAGCACTGTATGCACCCTTTCGTGAAGTCTCATACTCTGAGCCCGCCGATTTTGTTGCACTATGTATTAGCTTTACATGCATTCCTGTCGTATTCACGGGATTGGACAGCATTCTTGTACGATCTGGCGCTCAGCCCGCCAATGCGCACTGGGTTTCAGGACCCTCCGACGACAAAGAGCCTCTCACTTTGCCTGACAAGGCTGACGTAGTGCTGAAAGTATCTGAGGGTCTTTTGGCCGCACTGAAGATGTCGGGGGCTGCCGGTTGAAGCGCCTCCTTTGATGTCAGCCGGCATGCCGCATGCCTGATTCATGCCTGATTCTGCCGACGTTGAGCAGAGGTCGCGACTGAATTGTCTGTGGGCACGATTTGGCCAAAGGCCTCAGCTTCTCTTGCTCCAGATGGGATGCTTTGCAGCTCTGGCAGCCCTGTCCGGGTCTCAGTGTTTCCTTTTGAACAGGGCGGTTGGGAAGGTGTTGGTTTGTAGGCTCTCTTTTCGGGGCAGTTTCCGCCAGGTCCGCGACTTCTTAGCTTCGCGCTGATTCCGTGGTCCTAGTCATGCGCGGGAATGCACAACTATTCTTAAAGTGCTCTCTGTGCTTTGGGATGCAAGTTCCTTATGAAAGGCACTTGGAGAAGACCCTAAAACTCCCGCGCAGCACCCCCAGAAAGCCTTTGTGCTTTGAAAGCCCGTAAAGCCCCGAACCTCTGCTCTGAATTTTACCTGTTACCATCGAATCCAAGAATACTCCCCAAAAGTGAGCCGCTCGGGAGGAACTACTGGTCCTACGGCCCGTGCCACGGCTACCGCGCCTGGGTGAAGCGCGCCGCTGCTCCGCAGGCGAAAGCAGCTGCAGAGCTCTCTTTCGATAGGCGCGAGTCGAGACCAAAGTCAGTGGAGTGACTGTTTTAGGCTTGACGGCCATAAGTCGAATCCTTGAAGTTAGTAAAGGCATTTTGACCTCTTGCATGCCTTGCATAGCCGCGGGGCACAAGCTGTCACGCTGGGTTAAGAGACTGGATAAACAAAAAGTATGCCGCGGGGCTCGCCAGCCATGGCAGTTGCTGCGGCTGTGCACCGCCTGGCATTGCTGGACCGCCGCCGGGTAGCACGTAGCATCGCGGCCACGCTGCTGTTGATTGCCGCTTCCATCTTTCTTCGACTTCGTCGCAGGCTCCGAGGCGTGAACAGCTTGCCGTGGCTTCTCAAGATCCGTGGGCCGCCAGTCCACGCGGACGGTACAGCGAGTACCGGAGATGCGGCCAGTACAAGTGAAGCGGCAGCCAGGAAGGAAGCCACCCCGCCCGAAGTTACCTCCGCTGTGCACAACTTCGCTGTCTTCAACGTGGGCGAGAACGTTTCGTACCCCGATGGTGAGCAGGGCGAAGTGGTTGCTATCGATGAAGACGGCGACCTGCAGGTCGTGACCCGAAGGGGTTCGAAAGGCCACGTGGTATGGTTCGAGATGCCGTAAGGCACTGAACAAGGGCAACAGAGTCAGGTACGCCTGCGGCGAAGTCGCGGAGCTTATGGGTTTTGACGGAGATGGCGGTTGAGAAGAGCGACGTCAAGGTGGCTTCCTGGTACCTCGCTCACACCGAGAGGCTGTTGAGTGCAGGGGATTGCGCAATCCCCTACACACAACACCCTCTCGGTGTGAGCTAGGTACCAGCAAGCAATCTTGCCGTCAGCGTTTGTGGCGAAGTGGCGGGCGTGGTCGGCTTCGATGCCGATGGGGACGTGATTGTCCTCAAGCAGGATGGCCGCAGAGCAACCTGGTTTGCGCGCAAGTGCACGTGATAGTGACCAGCGATCTTGATCCTGCACACGGAAAGCCGTAATTAGTCACGCCTGCGGCCAAGGCTGTAGGTGACAACATGGCATGACAAACGGCGTTACAAAATTCTCCTGCATATTTCCCAGAAACTGCACTGACTGAATCGCTTGGCTTCTGTCGTTGACACTTCCGTACCGAAGCGAAAAGATTGGAGTGGTCAGGGCTCAGTTGCGATGGGATCGCGAGCCTGCGTAATTCCCTATACCAGTGCGTTGTTTCCACGATTTTTGTGAAGGTGAAGTTGCCCTGGCGCGATTCATGGGGGGTGGGGGGGGGGGGCGGGGCATTTTTGCTAAAACCGCCTCGAAATGCATTGTTGCCTTGCCTGTGCAGGCGGCTGCTTGTCGGGCTTCGGAGGGGTTCTATTCTTATGTTCATGCATGACGTGTCGTCGACGAAGGCCTAAATCCTAAACCCTAAGCCTAAACCCCTGTCAGGTCTGCAACTCCTTGGGACGCCAGAGGCCGAATCCAGACCGATCGCTGAATAGAAGGGTTTAGGGTTTAGGGGGTTCGGGTTTCGGGCTTGAGGGTTTGGGTGTTTCGGGGTTTCGGATTTCGGGGTTTAGGGTTTTGGGGTGTGGGGGTTTAGGGGTTTAGGGGTTTAGGGTTTAGGAGTTTCGGGGTTTTAGGGTTCAGGGGATTAGGGCTTTGGAGTTTCGGGGTTTCGTGTTTGGGGGTTTTAGGGTTTAGGGGCTTGAGGAGTCGGTTTTAGGGTCTGAGGGTTTAGGGTTTCGGGGTTTAGGGGTTTAGGGTTTAGGGGTTTAGGGCAGTTCTAGACGGGCTTTTGTGAGTAAAATGGCATCTGAATTGTCTGTGGGCACGATTTGGCCAAAGGCCTCCACTTCTCTTGCTCCAGGTGCTTTACAGCTCTGGCAGCCCTGTCCGGGGTCTCAGTGTTTCCTTTTGAACAGGGCGGTTGGGAAGGTGTTAGTTTGTAGGCTCTCTTTTTGGGGCAGTTTCCGCTAGGTCCGCGACTTCATAGCCTCGCGCTCATTCCGTGGTCCTAGTCATGCGCGGAATGCACAACTATGCTTAAAGTGCTCTCTATGCTTGGGGATGCAAGGTCCTTATGAAAGGCACCTGGAGTAGACCCCAAAACTCCCGCGCAGCACCCCCAGAAAGCCCCTGTGCGCTGAAAGCCCGCAAGGCCCTGAACCTCTGAATGATACATGTTACCATCGAATCCCGACACCCAGTAATACTCCCCAAAATGAGCCGCTCGGGAGGAACTACTGGTCCTACGGCCCGTGCCGCGGCTACCGCGCCTGGGTGAAGCGCGCCGCTGCTCCGCAGGCGAAAGCAGCTAGGCGCTAGTCGAGACCAAAGTCAGTGGAGTGACTGCTCTCGGGCTGACGGCCCTAAGTCGAATCCTTGAAAAGGCGCGTTTTGATCTCCTGCATGCCTTGCATAGCCGCGGGCACAAGCTGCCACGCTGCGTGAAGAGACTGGATAAGCAAAAAGTATGCCGCGGGGCTCGCCAGCCATGGCAGTTGCTGCGGCTGTGCACCGCCTGGCATTGCTGGACCGCCGCCGAGTAGCACGGAGCATCGCGGCCACGCTGCTGTTGATTGCGGCTTCCATCTTTCTACGACTTCGTCGCAGGCTCCGAGGCGTGAACAGCTTGCCGCGGCTTCTCAAGATCCGTGGGCCGCCAGTCCATGTGGACGGTACAGCGAGTACCGGAGATGCGGCCAGCACAAATGACGTGGCAGCCAGGAAGGAAGCCGCCCCGCCCGAGGTGACCTGCGCCGTGCACAATTTCGCCATGTTCAACCTGGGCGAGAACGTTTCGTACCCCGACGGTGAGCAGGGCGAAGTGGTGGGCATCGATGCAGACGGCGACCTGCAGGTCGTGACCCGAAGTGGTCGACAGGCCACGTGGTATGGCTCGAGATGCTGTAAGGCACTGAGCAAAGGCAACAGAGTGAGGTATGCCTGCGGCGAAGTCGCGGAGCTTATGGGTTTTGACGGAGATGGCGACCTCATTGTCCAGAAGAGCGACGGCAAGGTGGCTTGCTGGTACCTCGCTCGCACCGAGAGGCTGTTGAGCGTAGGGGATCGCGTGACATACGTTTGTGGCGAAGTGGCGAGCGTGGTCGGCTTCGATGCCGATGGCGACGTGATTGTCCTCAAGCAGAATGGCCGCCAAGCAACCTGGTTTGCGCACAAGTGCGCGTGAGAGTCACGAGCGATCCTGGTCCTGCGCAAGGACAGCCGCAATTAGTCACGCCTGCGGCCAACATGGCTGTAGGTGACAGCATGTCAGGACAACCGTCGCCTAGTTACAAATTCTCCTGCATATTTCCAAGAAACTGCACTGACTGTAATCGCTTGGCTCCTGTCCAACGTTGACACTTCCGTACCGGAGCAAAAAAATGGAGTTCTCAATGCTTAGCTGTCAGGGGGTCGTCAGGCTGCGTAATTCCCAGTGCCAGTGTGTTGTCTCTACGAATTTTGTGAAGGTGCCCCGGCGCCTGCCCCACCACACGGGGCGCGGGGGAAAGTTTTGTTACAATCTTATGCCCTAAACCCTGAACCTTTAAACCCTTGTCAGGTTTACACCTCTCTGGGACTCACGCCAGCCACAAACTTGCAATTAACGTCACTGTGGTTTGGGCGGCTGCAAGTCGCAATTGCTAGTCATACCGGTCGACCTATGTGATCACAACCACCTGTCCACCCGACCCCCGCCCGTAGGTGAGTCAATTGAGTCCCAAACCTTGAACCCTGCAGCCTAAGCGCAAAAACACAGTTAAATCCCTGAAGCCCAAAACGCCCCACTTCAGCAACAACTCCAATAGACCGCAGGCCACGTCCCGGCGTTTCACGTGAACTTCCGCGGTGCAAGATGGGCGAGGCATGGAACGAGGGTTCATGGGGTTTGTGGGGTTTTAAGGGTTTGTAGGGTTTCTGGGGTTTAGGGTTTATGGGTTTATCGGGTTTATAGGGTCTATGGCGTTTGTGGGGTTCAGAGGGTTTATAGGGCTTATGGGGCGTATAAGGCTGATGGGTTGATAGGGGTTTGGGTAGGGTTGATAGGCTGCAAAGGATTTGTAGGGTTTGTGGGGTTTATAGGGTTTATAGGGGTTCAAGGTTTTCTTGGGTTTCTGGCGTTTGTAGGGTTTATCGGGTTTACAGGGTTTATAGGGTTTATAGGGTTTATAGGGTTTTTGGGGTTTATAGGGTTTATAGGGTTTATAGGGTTTATAGGGTTTATAGGGCTTATAGGGTTTATGGGATTTATGGGGTTTATACGGTTTGAAAAAGTTTATGGGGTTGTAGGGCTTATGTCAAAGTCTAAGGTCTTCAGAGGTTTGGGTGGGTTGAGGGCGCAGGGTTTCGGTTGTTTTTTCCAGGATGCCCTGTGGAAGATGGAGGTGGGCGATAACACAAATCAACACCGGGAGGATTCGGGTCGGGGTATGTGTCTCCAGCAGTCTGCTCTGCAGGCGAAAGCAGCTGCAGAGCTCTCTTTTGCTCTAGGCGCTAGTTCGAGACGAAAGGCAGTTGAGTGACTGTGTTAGGGTTGACGTCCCTAAGTCGAATCCTTGAAAAAGGTGTTTTGATCTCATGCATGCCTTGCATAGCCGCGGGGCACAAGCTGTCACGCTGGGTGAAGAGACTGGATAAACAAAAAGTATGCCGCGGGGCTCGCCAGCCATGGCAGTTGCTGCGGCTATGCACCGCCTGGCATTGCTGGGACGCCGCCGAGTAGCACGGAGCATCGCGGCCACGCTGCTGTTGATTGCGGCTTCCATCTTTCTACGACTTCGTCGCAGGCTCCGAGGCGTGAACAGCTTGCCGCGGCTTCTCAAGATCCGTGGGCCGCCAGTCCATGTGGACGGTACAGCGAGTACCGGAGATGCGGCCAGCGCAGGTGAAGTGGCAGCCAGGAAGGAAGCCGCCCCGCCCGAGGTGACCTGCGCCGTGCACAGTTTCGCCGTGTTCAACCTGGGGCGAGAACGTTTCGTACCCCGACGGTGAGCAGGGCGAAGTGGTGGGCATCGATGCAGACGGCGACCTGCAGGTCGTGACCCGAAGTGGTCGACAGGCCACGTGGTATGGCTCGAGATGCTGTAAGGCACTGAGCAAAGGCAACAGAGTGAGGTATGCCTGCGGCGAAGTCGCGGAGCTTATGGGTTTTGACGGAGATGGCGACCTCATTGTCCAGAAGAGCGACGGCAAGGTGGCTTGCTGGTACCTCGCTCGCACCGAGAGGCTGTTGAGCGTAGGGGATCGCGTGACATACGTTTGTGGCGAAGTGGCGAGCGTGGTCGGCTTCGATGCCGATGGCGACGTGATTGTCCTCAAGCAGAATGGCCGCCAAGCAACCTGGTTTGCGCACAAGTGCACGTGAGAGTCACGAGCGATCCTGATCCTGCGCAAGGAAAGCTGCAATTAATGCAATTAGTCTTGCCTGCGGCCAACATGGCTGTAGGTGACGACATGTCATGACAACCGTCGCCTAGTTACAAATTCTCCTGCAGATTTCCCAGAAACTGCACTGACTGTAATCGCTTGGCTCCTGTCCAACGTCGACACTTCCGTACCGGAGCAAAAAGTTGGAGTGCTCAGTGCTCATTTGTCATGGGATCGCCAGGCTGTAATTCCCAGTGTCCATGTGTTGTCTCTACGATTTTTGTGAAGGTGTCCTGGAGCGTGCCCCATCTACACACTGGGAATTCATAAGCCCAAATTCCTAACCCAAAACCCCTGTCAGGTCTATGCACCTCCTTGGGATCCAGGCCAGAGGCCGTTTGGAGTTTAGGGTGTAGGGTTTAGGGGGTTTAGGGTTAGGGGGTTACATAGGGTTTAGGGGTTTAGGGTTAAAGGGTTTAGGGGTTTCGGGTTTCGGGTTTCGGGTTCCGGGTTCGGGGGTCTAGGGGCTTAGGGGTTTAGGGCTGAGGGGTTTAGGAGTTTCCGATTGTAGGGTTCAGGGGATTAGGGTTTTGGAGTGCCGTGGTTTAGGGTTTGGGGTTAGGGGTTTAGGGTTTAGGGTTTGGGAGTTTCGGGCTTTAGGGTTTGGGGGTTTGTTTTGGGGTTGAAGGGTGCAGGGTTTCGCGGTTTGGGGGTCAAGGGTTGAAGGGTTTAGGGGTTTAGGATTAAAGGCCTTAGGGTTAGGGGTTTGGGGTTCGGGGTTTCGGGCAGTTCTAGACAGGTTCTTGTGGGTACAGGTTTTGTGGGCAAAATGGCGTATACAACGCCTCAGAAACATAATGCCCATGCATGGATTGCGTGACGGTTTTTGCTTTCGCGCAGGCCGCATTTCTCACTGCCCCGCCCTGATCCGTAGGCCCCACAAAATGGGTGCACTCCACATTTGGCTGACCTCTAGGAATGCACCTGGATGCTTGCCAGCACTGTATGCACCCTTCGTGAAGTCTCATACTCTGAGCCCACCGATTTTGTTGCACTATGTACTAGGTTTACATGCACTCCTTTAGTATTCACGGGATTGGACAGCATTCTTGTACAATCTGGCGCTCAACCCGCCAATGCGCACTGGGTTTCAGGACCGATGACAACAAAGAGCCTCTCACTTTGCCTGACAAGGCTGACGTAGTGCTGAAAGTATCTGAGGGTCTTTTTGCCGCACTGAAGATGTCGGGGGCTGCCGGTTGAAGCGCCTCCTTTGATGTCAGCCGGCATGCCGCATGCCTGATTCATGCCTGATTCTGCCGACGTTGAGCAGAGGTCGCGACTGAATTGTCTGTGGGCACGATTTGGCCAAAGGCCTCAGCTTCTCTTGCTCCAGGTGGGATGCTTTGCAGCTCTGGCAGCCCTGTCCGGGGTCTCAGTGTTTCCTTTTGAACCGGGCGGTTGGGAAGGTGTTTAGTTTGTAGGCTCTCTTTTCGGGGCAGTTTCCGCTAGGTCCGCGACTTCTTAGCCTCGCGCTGATTCCGTGGTCCTAGTCATGCGCGGAATGCACAACTATGCTTAAAGTGCTCTCTATGCTTGGGGATGCAAGGTCCTTATGAAAGGCACCTGGAGTAGACCCCAAAACTCCCGTGCAGCACCCCCAGAAAGCCCCTGTGCGCTGAAAGCCCGTAAGGCCCTGAACCTCTGAATGATACCTGTTACCATCGAATCCCGACACCCAATAATGCTCCCCAAAATGAGCCGCTCGGAGGAACTACTGGAAAAGGTGTTTTGATCTCATGCATGCCTTGCATAGCCGCGGGGCACAAGCTGTCACGCTGGGTGAAGAGACTGGATAAACAAAAAGTATGCCGCGGGGCTCGCCAGCCATGGCAGTTGCTGCGGCTATGCACCGCCTGGCATTGCTGGACCGCCGCCGAGTAGCACGGAGCATCGCGGCCACGCTGCTGTTGATTGCGGCTTCCATCTTTCTACGACTTCGTCGCAGGCTCCGAGGCGTGAACAGCTTGCCGCGGCTTCTCAAGATCCGTGGGCCGCCAGTCCATGTGGACGGTACAGCGAGTACCGGAGATGCGGCCAGCACAAATGACGTGGCAGCCAGGAAGGAAGCCGCCCCGCCCGAGGTGACCTGCGCCGTGCACAATTTCGCCATGTTCAACCTGGGCGAGAACGTTTCGTACCCCGACGGTGAGCAGGGCGAAGTGGTGGGCATCGATGCAGACGGCGACCTGCAGGTCGTGACCCGAAGTGGTCGACAGGCCACGTGGTATGGCTCGAGATGCTGTAAGGCACTGAGCAAAGGCAACAGAGTGAGGTATGCCTGCGGCGAAGTCGCGGAGCTTATGGGTTTTGACGGAGATGGCGACCTCATTGTCCAGAAGAGCGACGGCAAGGTGGCTTGCTGGTACCTCGCTCGCACCGAGAGGCTGTTGAGCGTAGGGGATCGCGTGACATACGTTTGTGGCGAAGTGGCGAGCGTGGTCGGCTTCGATGCCGATGGCGACGTGATTGTCCTCAAGCAGAATGGCTGCCAAGCAACCTGGTTTGCGCACAAGTGCACGTAAGAGTCACGAGCGATCCTGATCCTGCGCAAGGACCAAGGACAGCCGCAATTAGTCACGCCTGCGGCCAACATGGCTGTAGGTGACAGCATGTCAGGACAACCGTCGCCTAGTTACAAATTCTCCTGCATATTTCCAAGAAACTGCACTGACTGCAATCGCTTGGCTCCTGTCCAACGTTGACACTTCCGTACCGGAGCAAAAAGATGGAGTTCTCAATGCTTAGCTGTCAGGGGGTCGTCAGGCTGCGTAGTTCCCAGTGCCAGTGTGTTGTCTCTACGAATTTTGTGAAGGTGTTCCGGCGCCTGCCCCACCACAGCAGTCAACCGCCAGATAATGGGCATTCACGGGGCGCGGGGGAAAGTTTTGTTACAATCTTAAGCCCTAAACCCTGAACCTTAAACCCTTGTCAGGTTTACATTTTTTGGGACTCACGCCAGCCACAAACTTGCAATTAACGTCACTGTGGTTTGGGCGGCTGCAAGTCGCAATTGCTAGTCATACCGGTCGACCTATGTGATCACAACCCCCTGTCCACCCGACCCCCGCCCGTAGGTGAGTCAATTGAGTCCCAAACCTTGAACCCTGCAGCCTAAGCGCAAAAACACAGTTAAATCCCTGAAGCCCAAAACGCCCCACTTCAGCAACAACTCCAATAGACCGCAGGCCACGTCCTGGCGTTTCACGTGAACTTCCGCGCTCCAAGATGGGCGAGGCATGGAACAAGGGTTCATGGGGTTTGTGGGGTGTTAAGGGTTTGTAGAGTTTCTGGGGTTTAGGGTTTATGGGTTTATCGGGTTTATAGGGTCTGTGGCGTTTGTGGGGTTCAGAGGGTTTATAGGGCTTATGGGGCGTATAAGGCTGATGGGTTGATAGGGGGTTGGGTAGGGTTGATAGGCTGCAAAGGCTTTGTAGGGTTTGTGGGGTTTACAGGGTTTATAGGGTTTAGGGGGTTCAAGGTTTTCTTGGGTTTCTGGCGTTTATAGGGTTTATCGGGTTAATAGGGTTTATAGGGTTACAGGGTTATAGGGTTTATAGGGTTTATAGGGCTTATAGGGTTTATGGGATTTATGGGGTTTATACGGTTTGAAAAAGTTTATGGGGTTGTAGGGTCTATGTCAAAGTCTAAGGTCTTCAGAGGTTTGGGTGGGTTGAGGGCGCAGGGTTTCGGTTGTTTTTTCCAGGATGCCCTGTGGAAGATGGAGGTGGGCGATAACATAAATCAACACCGGGAGGATTCGGGTCGGGGTATGCGTCTCCAGCGTCTGCTCTGCAGGCGAAAGCAGCTGCAGAGCTCTCTTTTGCTCTAGGCGCTAGTCGAGACGAAAAGCAGTTGAGTGACTGTTTTAGGGTTGACGTCCCTAAGTCGAATCCTTGAAAAGGTGTTTTGATCTCATGCATGCCTTGCATAGCCGCGGGGCACAAGCTGTCACGCTGGGTGAAGAGACTGGATAAACAAAAAGTATGCCGCGGGGCTCGCCAGCCATGGCAGTTGCTGCGGCTATGCACCGCCTGGCATTGCTGGACCGCCGCCGAGTAGCACGGAGCATCGCGGCCACGCTGCTGTTGATTGCGGCTTCCATCTTTCTACGACTTCGTCGCAGGCTCCGAGGCGTGAACAGCTTGCCGCGGCTTCTCAAGATCCGTGGGCCGCCAGTCCACGCGGACGGTACAGCGAGTACCGGAGTTGCGGCCAGCACAAATGACGTAGCAGCCAGGAAGGAAGCCGCCCCGCCCGAGGTGACCTCCGCCGTGCACAACTTCGCCGTCTTCAACCTGGGCGAGAACGTTTCGTACCCCGACGGTGAGCAGGGCGAAGTGGTGGGCATCGATGCAGACGGCGACCTGCAGGTCGTGACCCGAAGTGGTCGACAGGCCACGTGGTATGGCTCGAGATGCTGTAAGGCACTGAGCAAAGGCAACAGAGTGAGGTATGCCTGCGGCGAAGTCGCGGAGCTTATGGGTTTTGACGGAGATGGCGACCTCATTGTCCAGAAGAGCGACGGCAAGGTGGCTTGCTGGTACCTCGCTCGCACCGAGAGGCTGTTGAGCGTAGGGGATCGCGTGACATACGTTTGTGGCGAAGTGGCGAGCGTGGTCGGCTTCGATGCCGATGGCGACGTGATTGTCCTCAAGCAGACTGGCCGCCAAGCAACCTGGTTTGCGCACAAGTGCGCGTGACAGTCACGAGCGATCCTGATCCTGCGCAAGGAAAGTTGCAATTAATGCAATTAGTCTTGCCTGCGGCCAACATGGCTGTAGGTGACAGCATGTCAGGGCAACCGTCGCCTATTTTTAAATTCTCCTGCATATTTCCAAGAAACTGCACTGACTGAAATCGCTTGGCTCCTGTCCAACGTTGACACTTCCATACCGGAGCAAAAAAATTGGAGTTCTCAATGCGTAGCTGTCAGGG